AAGCTCTTTTCAACTTTGTGCTTATGCAACTTAGCATAACTTCAATTGCAAGCTCTTGGCAAAAAAACAAACAATTTGAAGTTTAAGTTGTTCTACAAGTTACACTGGCCTACAAAAAGAATTAACCAAACAGCACCTTATAATTTTTGTGGCACTAAAACTAAATTGGAAATATTTTTTTTTTAATTGCTGTTTTTATTTGCAATTTGTCTTATACTAGACAATAAACAAATTTGTTAACAATAATATTACGTAACAAAATTGAAAATATGATTAGTAAATCTGTAAGTCTGTAAGTCTGTAATCTGTAAATCTATTGTAGTCTGCTTAGTTTCATGAACAACTGTCTTCATGCCTCTCACTCTTGGCTTGGCCTCTCTCGCTCTGTAAGTCTCTCTTAACAGCCGATAGCTCGTAGACAAAAAAAGATATTTCTAAAATTTTAAAGGAGACTTTTGAAGTGTGAAGTGATAGTTTAAGAAATACTAAAGGTGTATTTTTTAAAAATACTTGTGCATATGCTAAATGACCTCAAATATACGAGACTGCAGATTTTTAACCACGAAGGCAGATTATCCCAACTAAACATATTTGAGAGAAGATTTCAGCACAGCAAAAGATGCAAAAGACTTAAGTTAATGTCATCAGCCATCACACTTGACAGATCACTTGAAATATTCCCTTACCTTAGCTTAAAGAATAGACTCTACGAAAAATGTAGTCTAGTCAAAGTTCTACTTGTTATCATTCAATATAAAATCATTTCAAATTATAAATAATGCTTAATTTTATATAAATATAAATATTATTTTATAAAAGAATAAAAACAATCTAAGTTCAATTTCAGCAAAGAAAAACTCTAGAAAAAGCATAATGTGAAACTTAGTTCCTAAATTCTTAAGCAATTTTGTTGACCAGTGTAGACAAGGCTTTGCATACCATAGAGAAAGATACACAAAGATTTCATATGTTACTTTCTTGCCAGGGCAAATCATTTTATAGGCATCCATAGAGAGCATCTATACATCAATCTATACATCAATCTAGCCATAAATACATCTATATAGACATCAGATATGAATGCCATTTAAGAGTCATCAAATATAAACAACTTGCAGCTGCTCTCCTTGCATGCAATTCAAATCACATAGCTCAACTGGCTCAGGTCAATTTGCCAACTTAATTATAGTATTGAAAACGCATTGAAGTCGACTTTAAAGGCAGCTTAAATTCAGATTTTATTCACTCACTCAGCTTGAGCTGCTGGCCAATGATATTTGATTAGTTTAACCTGAGTTAGTTGGGCCCATCAAACACTTGAATGTCATAAGTCGATTTATTGTGCTCGAGGAATATTTTACAAATTCCTCAATAATTTGTTAGCTTCAACGTGCCGAAAATACTTTGGCCAAGCAATTTGCATTCATATTCTGCTGCTTCTGCCTCGTGCTTTATTTGTGCAACGGCAATGGCAACAGAAACTGCGAATGCAGCTCACATCTAGCAAGGCTACGTGTTTGAGCCAGGAAAAAGTGAGATTTTACCTGTTACCAGTTGGAATTTATATTAAATTGTAGCAGGAGCCGGGGCGCCAGCAGGGGGTGCCAGCAGGGGGCGCCAGCAGGGGGCGCTGCATGTCGAAATTGTTGTTTTTTTTCACTGGGGTTTGGGAGCTGGCAAAGTGCCAGCCAGCCCGCTGCAGCGGGTCGGTTCGGGCCTGGTTTATGATGCGGCTGGCTGATATTATATTTGTCGTTCCGTTTTCATTGCAGTTTTCGCATCAATCGCATCGAGTCGCCCATACTGAAGTACGAGGGGGACTGCGGCGAGTCGCTGACCATCTACGACTCGGATCATGCGGATCCGGCGCGCATCATCAAGACCTTCTGCGACACCTTCTCGCGGCCCATGGAGAAGGTGGACTTCGTGAGCACCAGCCCCTCGCTGTACGTGCAGTTCGAGTCGAAGACGGGCAGCTATAGCGGCAGCTCACTGTACTACTGGGCGCACTATGATTTCTTCAACAATACGCGCTTCGGCGACCCCGTGCCCAATACGCTCTGCGACGAGGTGATGTACGCCTGGAAGCATCCGGGCGGACGGCTCCGCTCGCCGCTCAACTCGCTCATCTTCAAGCGAACCGGCGGCAGCGACGTGCGCTGCCAGTACAAATTCGTGACGGATCGTCGGCTCTATGCGCGCGCCATAATCGAGGTGAACTCGGTGTCGTTCAAGGAGCTGCCCTACAATAGCAACGCCTGCACACGCTGCCACGAGGAGCGCGTGGACAAGCTGGTCATCTGGGAGGAGCGCGACAAGTTCCAGAACAACTTGGCCTGCTTCTGCGACAATATACCGCGGGCAGTGCGCGTCATCTCGTCGGCGGATCAGATGAATCTAGAGATGATAGTGCAGGGTCAGCATGCGATCACCTCGTACTTCAAGAATCCGAATCCGCTGTTCGAGGCGACCTATGAGTTCGCCCATGGCCCGCTCTGTGGCCCCATCACGCTGGGACCGTCGCCCGATGGCGAGCTCGTCTTCCCCTACAAAAAGGCACTGGCCATGGTGGCGGGGCCGATGGCGCCGCCGGAGCACCATTATCGCCGGGAGAAGTGCATCTGGGAGCTGAAGGTGGCCGCCCAAAGGGATCTCTGGCTAAATTTGGAGAAGGCGCGCTTCGCCGAGCGCAGCTGCGAGAGCGCAAAGATTGAGGTCTATCTGGCTGGGCGCTTGGAGCCGCGATTTGTGGTTTGTCCCGAGAACATTTCGCTGGCCAGAGACCTGCCCATACTGAGCACAGCCGAGCTGGGGGCCACGGGCGCCGATCAGGAGCCGCTGCCGGTGCTCATACAATACACGGGCGATGGCCAGCCGGGCAAGAACATATTTCGACTGGTCTGGACCGAGCTGTTCCACTTGCCCCGCAATCCCGACGGTAGTCTGGCCGCGTCCCTGCTGCAGGATGGCGACTGTGACTTCCGCTGTCCCGGCGACACGCAGGTCTGCATACCGCGCCACCTGCTCTGCAATGGCATCGCCAACTGTCCCAATGTGACGCACACCTCGACGCTGGCCCAACTAACGCGGCACATTGAGTGGAATCTGGAACAGCTCGGCCTGCTGCATCATGCCGCCGAGTATCGCCAGCTCGTGCTGCACGATGAGTCCCCAGAGATTTGTCTGCGACGCGATCTCAGCCAGCTGCCCTACGGCAAACTCTCGCTGCTGGCACTCGGTCTCTGTGCGATATTTGCTCTGCTCGTTGCCATACTGCGACGCATGTGCCGAGGGGCGCCGAAGCAGCCAGGCTTGCAGCAACTGCAGGAGGATTACTAAAGCTCTACTAAGGCTCCTCCACTCTCTCTCTTCTATTACTTAATTTGCTCTCAAAGATTCAATGCAAAGTCTCTTGGAAATAGAGTTTATCCAACCGAAAATGTTTTCCTTTCCAATTGATTTTCCTTTTCTTTTTTAATATTTATTCAAAATTTCGTTCCACTGCCAATTGCCGTCAGTATTTCACTCCTCCCTCTCTGCATACAAGATAAAAATAAATAAGTAAAAAATGCTAATAGCAAGCACTTATATGTAAGTAGTTTTTGCAAAACTGAACTCTATAAATTTCTCTCGTGACAGCTATTGAATATTAATTGAAATAATTATACGATAAACACTTCAAGCATATATAAATGTTTATAACACAAAAAAAAGAAATGATTAACTGCCCTGAATAAATTAATTAAGCATAAAATTGTCACGTGATAATTGTTGGGAAAAAAAGGTAAAACAAAATGCGAGCATAAAGAAACTAGAAACTAATTAAGGTAGACAGGTAAAACGCAAAAAAGAAATAACGAAAAAAAAACAAATAAAAAATTGTTGGTGGTTTTATTAGTTAATATATGTATCAATAAAATAAAATAAAATAAAATACAAACAATTTATAATTATTATCATTGGCAAATTGTCAATCTAAAAAGGGAGAAAATTGGAGTCGTACATAAGTAAACGCATACTTGAATAAATATGTATATAATGTACGATATACAATACATATATATTTTTTGCACATAGATTTACCTAGACCATAAACGAAACAAGAAAAAACTAAAACCAAAATCGAGATCCAATTGCATTTTAATTCGTGGTCGAAATTGTCCACAAAGAAAGGCAAAGTAAAATTTTTAAATGAGAAATCAAATTAAATAAAAAATCAGAAAAGATGAGAAAAAACCCTAAAGATTTTCCCAAATGAAAAAGTACCGAAAATTGTAAAATTCAGCCAAAAAATGGTTCTAGCAATTAAGTCGTATTATTTAGATCTAAGTGAAATTATATATAGACAAAAAAGAGTTAAAATGGCACTGCAGCGGCAGAAAACCCAATCTATCTTAGCCAAGACCCTTATGCCCTATTCAATCATTTTCTTTGCAAAATAAATATAGCAGATTCCTTAAAATAAATTTACTATAAATATTTTTTAAATTTAATGCAGCAAAGTAATAGTAAAAAATACTTTAAACTTAAAAAAAAAATTTTAATAAATAAAAAACTCATTTATTAGAGCTTAAGGCTTTTTAGTTAGTCATCAAGTTTCATTCATTTATTTTTTAAATTAACTATAAAATAAATTTTTTATTTTTAAAATAATTTCCAATCTCTTCACATTTTAATTTTTCTAAAGAGCTAAAATAATTACAAATGTCATTAAATATATTTATTCAAGCTTAAACAATTTATTTATATTCTTAATAAGGTGCAGAAAAGTATATTTTTATTTTATTTAAATCATTATAAATTATAAAAAAAAATTATTAAATTATTAATTATAAAAATAAATTATTTTTTCCCAAAATAATTTTTCAAGTTTAAAAAACTTGACGAAACTCAGTTTTATGTCCAATACATCTAATAATTAAAGTCCTTAAATCATTTTTTTTTAATTAAACTCTAAACAAGGTGAAAATTACATAAAGCCCAAGTCAACTTAAAATAAAATTATAAAAAAAAAATAAAAAAAACTTAAATAAAAAAATATTTATTTTCAATGCAAAGGAGCCGCTGCAGTGTCAGAGGCAGAAGTTACAGAGATTACCCACAACAATAATGAAATGAGATGCGAGAGAAAGAAAACAAAAAAATAGAAAGTAGAACACATATTTTAGATGTACGTCAGAATTAAATGTAAGAAATTAAAAATAAAAAGTAATAAAACTGAGAGAAAAACGTAAATAAACGCAATTGGGAAAAACACACACACAGAGAGAGAAAAGTGACGGTAAATTTGTAATTGGATATGGAACGGGATGGGGAATCGAAAAGCGGTTGGCAGCACCGCCAGATGCCACGTGCTGCGACCCTGGTCGGCAGCTGTCAAAGACGCGAGGCGACAAGGTAGAGTAAAGTAAACAAAAGCTCAAAAAGGAAAGCAAATGCGAACAAACGCGAAGAAAACGAACCCACAGCGATTTATATGTCAGCTGGCCCAAACCGAAACCGCTCGTCAGGGGGCAGGCACTACTGTCAAATATCTGGGGCTACCGATTCGGAAAACAGACGCAGATAGCGACGCGCGTGAAAAAGCAAATTCGTTGAAAATTATAAACGCGATAATACAAAAAAAAGCCGGAAAATCAAAACCGAAACTCGAAATACAATTCGACTTAGTGTTAAGATCTGATCATCACTCCTTGCTGACCAAACACTCCTTCCGGCCATGGAGCGTACTGCAGTGCCGCGTGGCAAACGCCCACGGGTTCAGGTCTCCATGGACGACAAAGAGCGTGCCATAGCACGCATACGCAATGGCGAGACCAAGGCTGGCATCTCACGTGAATTGGGCGTGCCAGAGTCGACGGTGCGTGGGTGGGTGAAGCGAGCCGATCAGCGCATGGCCCGCGAGGCTGGAGAAGGTAAGCCGTAGAGTAGGGATCGTAGCTCATCTCCGATATCTGTATATATGTGTGTGTGTGTGTGTGCATGATAGGCCCCGAGACTGTGTCGCCGCCCTCGCTGGTGGCGCATTCACTGAAGCTGCCCGCCAAGCGGGATCACAATGGCCAGCAGCGGACACGCTCCATAGCGCCGATGACCGTGGCCGTGCCGCTGCCCATGCAGCTCTTCCAGCAGGCCGCCAACAGCCAGCTGCAGCTCAATGGCTGGCTGCACATATTCAATGCGGGCATTCTCAACTTTACGCTGATCGCCACCGCGGCCTACCTGCGAGCGCGCGTGCGCGGCACCACGGATCGCCAGTCGCTCTGGCAGATCATCTGTGAGTATGTGGACGAGGCTGGGCGCAATGTGGCCGCCAATGGTGGACAGTATGTGGCAGCCGGAGGCGGAGCGACAGCAACAGCAATAGCAACAGCAACAGCAGCAGCAGCAGCGGGCGCAACAGCGGCGGCAGCAGCAGCAGCGGCAGCGGCAGCGGGCAGCGCATTCAGTCGACAGCTTAACTCATCGCCGGCCATGGGCCGCAATGGCGGCAGCTTTGTGGCGCCGCGACTGCACATCACGGCGGAGGACGACGAGGATGCCAGCCTAGAGGCCGAGCTAGAGCCGAGTCCATGACGACCGAATCGATTCGATTTATGTACATGTATATGCAAATAAAACGCCTGTCAATGGGATTATGTTGTTTAAAGCAAATAATTGCATTTTAATTAGCAGCGAAATAAGTGCGATAATTGGCTCCCGGCCCCAGTTGCCCCCGTCTGTCCGGTCTCTGTCCGTCTGTCTGTCTGCTCTGAATCCGAATCTGATGCGGCAGACTTTATTAACCATATTATTATTTCATTTCATTGCATGTCATGCAAATTTCCAATTGAAATTGTCGTTGTTGTTGTTGTCGTTGTTATTGTCGTTGTTGTTGTTGTTGTTTTACTTTTTTCATTATTGTTATCCTGTCGTGTTCTCTGCCTCTCCCTCTGACCAGAGTCACGTAATTAAGCGGTTTTATTTGCGGCTTTGCCACACATTAATTGCGTATGTTAAATGTAAAATTTATTTAGTACAAAAAAAGAAGAAGCGAATTGAAAATATATAAATATTTTTTTATGTACTCAAATTTGCATTTCCAGCTCGCTCGACTGCGGATTAAACATGAATTCGTTTTAGTTTTTATCAAAGTTTTATTATTGTTGTTTTTTGCTCTCTTTGATCTCTTTCACAATTGAATTGGGCAAAAAAGAAGGAAAGTATTTCAGTGTCAGAATTTATTAATTTTATAGATTTCATATGCCATTATTATGTGTAATTAAGTGAGGCTGTCGGCAGTTGTACGTAATCGATTTACAAGTAGATTTGCCAGACAGCTAGCGACTTTCCAGCTCTAAATCTTTGCAGAAAGATATAAATAAATATAAAAATATATAAATAAAAAAATATATGAAAATAAAAGTATATGAATATAAAAATATATAAACAAGTGAATATATAAATACAAATATAAAAATATATAAATCTATAAATATATAAATAAATAAATATATAAATAAATAAATATACAAATATATAAATATAAACAATATATAAACAAGTAAATATATAAATATAAATATAAATATAAAAATATATAAATCTATAAATATATAAATAAATAAATATACAAATATAGAAATATAAAAATATATAAACAAGTAAATATATAAATATAAATATAAAAATATATAAATTTAGAAATATATATCTACATATATAATTTGTAAAGCTCCACTGTCTGCTCAATTTATTTAATTATGTTCTATGCAAACATTGACTAATTTATATAAAGTCAAATCTGTGCTGTGCTGTGCTGGCTTAAACAACAGATAAAAATCAATATAATCTTCATATAAGCTAGTTTTTCATATCAAAATTCTGTTCTAGAATATATATTTTATTGTCTAGACTACTATTTCTTTAGACTTTAGACCGAGACTTTAAGATCAACTGAGAGCTATGTATGTGAGTTCTTCTTCTGTTAAGCTAGCTGACAACTCGGCCTGGGCAGCACTATGAGCACAGTCCAATTACTTTGCTGCATATGCAGGCAACATAAAGTAAAACACCTAATTGAAGGCTAATCAGAGGCGAACATTGCTCGCTATTTACCTCTGCCTTTGCTCGCTTCTGTGTGTGTGCTTTGGGGCAGGGCAAAGCGAGAGCTAAGCCAGCTAAGCCAATATCCAGTGGGCAATGTAGCACGCAGCGATTATCCGGCAGTTCATCGAAAAATATTACTTCCTTAGCACGAAACTTTTTCCATTTTCATTTTGCACGGCGGACCATAAAAAGTATGGAAAAAGGACGGCCCAAGCAAATGGCAAATGGCAAATGGTTGCTGCAGGCGCAGGCAGAGGCGAGCCGTAAATATGTATGTATGTAGCACGCGTGTATGTATGTGTGTGTGTGTGTATGTAGAGGGATTCGGTTTCTGTTGCGGATTTCTTGTGGAGGCCTATCAAAGTTGATTATCGTGAAATACTTTGCAGTCATGAATTGAGCGGCAGATTTGTGCGGCCTGTGGCCTGTACCTGATTTAACGCCTAAGCCGCAGGGATTTGCGACCCAGATCGACTCCGAGCTGTCTCAGCTAAAACATTGATTAACTTGTTGAAAAAGTGCAGCAAGGCAAGCGCAATAAACGCATTTCGGCATATGAGCACGAGCTGCCTCGTCGCATGGCCAAGCCATAAAGGTGTTCGCTGTTAATGGCCTCAAACTGAAACGGAGCAAAGCAAAAAGCATCATTCCAAGCAGCTCCAATTGGAATTGCGGTTTGCAGCTGCACAGCGTGTGCTGGCACGCACCCGCCCCCAACGCCCAGCTGGAAGTCATAAATCAAATACGTTTAATTAAACTTTTCCACGTGGCACCCGAGGGGCGTGGCAAGCTTTGGCGCGCCAACTAAGTAAAAATGCAATTAGAAGTGGCATTGGTCACGTTGCCACCGACGTGCATAATGTTTGCAGCAGCAGCCGCGAGCTGTGAACCATTTATAGACAGTAAAGCCAAAGTGCGCCCAAAAGTATGCTACGAATTTCAATATGCCGGATAATGAAACTTATCGCACTGACTGCAATCGTGTATGCTTTAGCTCCCATTGACGTTCGATTGATCGAATCAAGCACAATCAACAGCTGAACTAATTTAGTTGGCAGTAAGCAAAACACTTTTGGTTTAGTTCTGCTCTAAAAAGGTGCTTCGTGGCTCCATTCACTGAGTCAGCTTTCGCTGCTGAGCTATTGATTAGCTTAAATAATGACAAATGCTGAATTGGTCAATAGAAATACTAATTCATATTATTTTACAGCTTATAGCTGAACTAATTCTTTAAATGTAACTAAGCCAACAAGCACTGAACACATAGCACACAGCACATAGTGTGCATTGCGTATACGCAGCATATGCCAGCTTGAAAGGCGAGCCTTCGTCAGAAACATGAGACTCCAAAAGGCAACAAATGTCAAAACTCCATCATCAATATTGTAGATTTAGAGCAAGGTTTTAGCTTTCCCATAATTATGATAAATTCAGCATAAATTATGAGCTTTGGCTTTAGAGTGAAATATTTAAAAGCGAAACGAGCAGCTGTTCAGGGCTTTGCAAACTGTTTATTAGGTATTTAATATTAGTCTATGTAAAAATAAATCGAATGTGGGCAGACTTCTTGCTCTACAGATCGTTTAATGTTCAGGCATGAATTTAAATAATCAACAAATTGGCAATTTGAACATTTCAAAAGCCCAAAACTAACGCAGTTTCGTTTGCTTTCATTACGAATTCAAACATGAGACAAGCATAGGTAAGCAAAAAAAATATAAAGTTTATAAAGAATTTCTTGGCAAAACTCAAAATTTGGCAGGAAACAAGTGTTAACTGTGCTCCAGCCAAATAAGTACGCGAATGTCCAAAAACTATGGCGAAAGTTGTTAAAACAAAATAAATAAAGAAGCTGAGCCACAAATGCACTGACAGCGGCTGTAAATCATTTGGCCAAATATTTTACCACCTTTAAACTAGAAGCTGGCCATTGTCGTGCTTAAAGTGAGAGTCGGAGCGTCAGAGCTCTTTCTCTGCTCGACTGCTGGGCTGCTGGGCTGCTGGGTTGAGTCATTGCAAAGGAAATCACGCAATAAACTAGGGGCGAAAACAAAACTTTAACTACTTTTTCCGTTAGCCGCGAAACTCAACTGGAAAAACTTTTCGAAACAATACAATTTATATTTATGCGATGTCGACGACGAGGACGACGCTGAGGACGCTTCGACGATGACCCAGAAAAACGAAATGGCAAAGAAAATGCTGTCCAGCATTCAGCTCTCGCTCGACCGAGAGCCGTGCCAATGCAGAAGAAGAGTTTATTTAAGTGTTGAAAACCACTTGACCCACTTTCTTGTGGTGTTGATAGCGGCCAGAGCAACTTCTTCATGTCAATTTAAAAGCCTCGTTGAACAAAACTTCTGCCTGCAGCCCAGCCACAGTGCCACAATAAATTAACTGCATTAAAGCAAAATCGACATTCCATTTAGCATTGAGCGCACCCAACAACCGGCCGTAGCTATTAGCATTTTTCCATAATTTCAATTCAGTTAATGGCAGGCAAAATGCTTGCCTCAGGGCAGCACATGAAACATATTTGATGGGAGCTCGAGCTGGAGCTGGAGCTGGAGCCGATACCCAAAGGATGTTAAACTATGCCAGTTGCTAATTAGTTTTGAGAAGAAATCTTATTGGTTCCATGTTGTGCTAGCAGCATGTCATAAGCGAAACTTTCCAATCAATACAATTTACTCACATCATTTGCTGCAGGCGGAGGCTGTGGAACAATGACTCGAAGTGATTTACTTGAGCTGGGACTGCAAACAAGTTACCCTAAAGAAAATGTTATGTAAAAGAGTGAGTTTAAGCAGCTCATAATAGGAGATGTATACTCGATATCAGGTATCATATTTTATATTTAGTATAAATGGCAAAACTCATTGGACTGACTTCTGCTGTGGATTTCGGAGAAAAGGTAAGTTCAGCTGAGCTAGGATTAAGATACTCCTAACTGATAGCAGTACATTGTGAGCTCTCTTCGACTCAGATTGAATAAACTATATATATAAATATGCATATATATATATACATATTTATCTATATAGTAGCTCGTCAAAATTAACATAGTATCAAATATTTTTAATGCTTATTTACTTATTATTTATTTATTTTTAATTATTTATAATTTTTCTTATCAAAAAAAACTTTCATTTATGAAATATATCAGATTAATTTTATATAAGCAAACTCTTACACAATAGTTCTTTGTCTGTTTTGTAAGCTAAAAGTATTATATCATATTTAACAATTTTAATATATACATAAAATATATAATATATATATTAAAGCAATACATAAATTTATACAATTTATACAAAAATTTATACAATTATAAAAAATGATATAAAAATTGTATTAATAACTAAAAAAGGCTCTATTCATAGAATGTGGAGACGTATATATATTGTCACAGTCTACTCTCTCAATCAAGCATCCTTTCAGTTATTAATATTTGATTTATTATAATATTATATAATATATATAATCTATATTCTCACCTATTATCAACCCATGTCTAACCCCTTTGTTAACACAGGGTATTTAGAACAAAGTTGTTGGCAACAAATGGCTGGCGGATATTGATTGTAGACCCACAGACAGACAGATAGACAGACAGGCAGGCAGGCAGACGAACGGACGGTCGGAGCGCATAATGACCCAAAATCCTATCAATCCAAATGAAAATTCCCCAGTCGTGCGGATAATTGGAATTAATACAAAAAGCAGCTGAGATATTTTGTTTTGGGCTGCTGTGCGGGGTCGAGGCTAATGATAGGGTTAACTGTAGCTAATGCTGTTGTTGCTGCAGCTGTAACTGTCATATGTAATGTGATATGTGAGACTTGGGCCACAGCACATCCGCTGCCTGTTATTGAATTGCCTTAGACAGCTGCCCAGAGTCCAGATGGAGTTGACACAGCTCACGATATTTGATTCAATTAGCCAGCAAACAAATTAGAAACCAAATTGTATAGCTAGACCAATATAAACACTTTTGTTTAAGAACAAAGAGAGCTTTAAAAGAAGTAAAGCAACAAATGAAGAGATGGAAATTTTTGCATTTGCTGCATACAGTAAGTTAAATACCCTTTTGGAGCAACGATATATATAGGTAGATAAATCTATCGAGCAGCCTCAAGAATTGAGAGATGAAACTGAAATAAATTTATTCCATAAATATTTATTTAAACAATTATCAAGTTCCATTTAAAATTCTGCCTAAGCATACATTATTAGTTAGGTTCTTCTATAAATATTCTGTATAAATATATCTTTATTGCTATTACCTCATGAATTGTAGCCCCAACGCTTCATAGGCTAATTTTTAATTGATGATAGACGAAAGTTTTTCTTCCTATTCCCCCATCATCAGTCACAGGCAATTACTTTTGCTAACGATGACAGCGCACGTTTGATAAATACCTTTTAATATTTAATAACCTTTAGCAAATAGACGCGCTATTAGGCACGTGAGGTCTACTGTGAAACAATATAAGTATTTGTGGTATATAGTTGAAGTTGAAGAGGTACTTAAATTATCAGAATTGTCACATTTGGAGTGAGGATAATCCATAAGGCTTTCTCGAAAGACCATTAAATCCACAGAACATTTCTGTTTGGTTCACTTTGTGAACTGGCGAAGTCATTGGTTCATATGTCTTAAGAAGCAAAGATGTTTGCAAGGATTGTAAAAATTAATATTCCATATTTTCTGCATTTTATTGCCATACAAATCATATTTATGCGTAATGTCGTACAATTTTCTATCTTAAGAATTTTCTGTCTTAAATTTAAAAATATATTAATATTTTTTATTTTAATTTAAGCCTATGTAACTCAACAAAAAACAGCCGAATACTTTTGTGTTCACGAATTGATGAGCAGCTAAAAGCCATTGGCTACGAAATAAATAATAAATAAAATAATAAAAAAATATTGCTCTACAGACAATATATTTGCAGAATCATAATGCTAGAATGCCTCTGGCATAACAACAGATGAAACCAATATAGCCTACACGAGATGTGCTTACTATGCCTTGCGTGTATAAACTTTCTGTGCTCCAATTCAGGCATATTCAGCAAGCCATCAGGCATTGGATGATTTGATCAACTTGATCAATCAATCAATCTATCTGTATATTTATTTAACCTTGACACATAAATAGCCCATACGTGCGGGAAAACTAGTCAAGTCCGATCAGATTATGAGCAGCAATGCCTGTGGGCACATTTAGCTAATTAGTTTGGCCTCAATCAGGCGGCCAAGAGATATGTTAACAACCGCAGGTCTGTCAACTGTTTTCGTAGCCAATTAGTATTCGCCGCGAGTCGAAACATGTTGCATCGTAGACTGCGCCTCCTGCTCTATGTAAGCTACAGCCAGCTGCTCCTCTACGGCCTGCTGCCGGCGACACTGCACGCCAGCGACGGCAATGTGAGGCTGAGCAAAGTGTCCGCAGGATATCTGATCTACAGCATATGCCCGGCCCTATTCCTGTTGCTGGAGACGCCGTTCATGATGGCCAGCGGCCTCTTTGGCGCCTACATGAGAAACAATATTGTGCTGCAATGGGGTCAGATGCTGACGTTGTCCTTACGCAGTGTCGCCGTGCTCAGTTGCTATGGCGTCGTTTGGCTGCACCGCCGACGGCTGATTCAGCTTTACGCCGACTTCCTGCAGCGCTGGCAGGCCCATTGGCCGACTCTGTGCCGAGTTAATGGTGCGAAGGCCCTGGAGCGAATGCAATTGGAATTGGCTGGACAAATGCTAAGGTTGCTGTGCGTTAATTACTCCATGGTCTTCTTCTCGCTCCTAATGCAGTATCGCCTGGCCGCCAAAGCAAGTCTGCTGTATCTGCTGTTTCGCACTGCCTCCATGCTAATGCTTTCGGCGGAGCGAGTCGCCTTCATAACGTTGCTGCTGCTGCTCAATCATCAGTTTCGAGCTGTCCAGCTGGCACTGCAGGCGCTAAGCCGGGGCGCAGGATCTCGCTGCTCCCAGGCAGATCTGAGGCGCATCGCCGACATACACAACGACTGGCTTCGGCTGGCCAGACGCTTCTTCAGCATCCATGATCTGGCCAATGCCAGCATCTTTGCCAACATGTTTGCAGTTAATGTCAACATTCTGTACCACGCCGTCCAGTTCGGCAACAAGACCATCAAGTCCAACTACGTGGACATTATCATGGGCGAAGCACTGGTGAGCCTCAACATATGGAATTCAGTTGTGGTCATGAATCTACTGGACACCACATTACGCTCTTGCAACTACTCAGCTCTGCTGCTGCGTCAATTCAACGATCTACCTCGCCTGAGCCCCGAGTCCCAGCGAGAGGTTTGTTTGCCTACTCAATTTTCATTTCTATGCCAATGCTCGATTTCATTTGCAGCTGGAACTCTTTGCCAATCGCCTGCGCAACAATCGCCTGGTCTATCGAATCTGCAGCTGCGTGACCCTCGATAAGCCTGCCTGCTTGAGTTACATGTCCGCTGTGCTGACCCATGTGATTGTGCTGATGCAGTTCGATCTGAAGCGACGCCATGAGCAAGGACTGCAGTATGACGACTTCTTCAAAGAATAGGACCAAAGCAGAGCAGATGTCATGTATTCAGGGATAGAATTATATAGTGGGAAAGTATCATATCTGAACAAGTGTCTTATGCTAATTTTATTCATTTTATATGCTTAAGAAATCTTTTCTTGTTATTAAACTAAAATAAAAACAAAATCGAGCTCATCAAATTTTTTTACTATTTAAAATCCAACTTTAATGCAGTTGGCCAATTGACACTGATTGACTATAGTTATATATAATAAATTAAATAAACTACAAAAATAATATTGCATTGCAATAAACAATAAAGCCTCATCGTAACCTACTTTTCCCCACACTGCTTTATTTCAACTTAAAAGCAAGAGAAATTGCTAAAAGCCTAAATACACTTAAACAATTTTCAGCGCACTTAAATACGGGGAAATGATGGTCAACATACAATTGTTGTTAGTGTCGCGAGGCTTTTAGGATAGACAATTCAAAAAAGCTTTGGCCATTACAAACTAGCATTAAAAGCTCTGCACAACTATTAGACGCTGAAGCTTTTGAATAGCTTTTAAATGTAAATGGAAATGCGAGCGAAAGGGGATTGCTTTAATAATATTTCTTGTATGCCAACTGCCACAGAATGAGCACATTTATCCATATAGAAGCGTTCATCGAGTTCCACGAAGCTCTGTTCATGTCGAACAGGCCCACAATTTGCAGATTTCGCACTCGTTTGGTCCGCGGCTGCAGTTTGCGATTCAGATGAAGCACAGCAAATTCTAGCTGCAAGAGAGAAATCTAAATTATTGAATATAATATATAAGATAAAAGAGATAGTATATAAAATAAACAAATATAATATAATTTAATAAAATTTATTAATAATTTATTGTAAACTAAATTGGTATTTTTCTTTAATTTTTATTCATTTATGCTAATTAATTAGCAAAGTCAGATATATATAAATAAATAGATTTTCAGACATTTTGAAAACAATTTAAAATAAAATAAAATAAATATAAATATAAATATAAATATAAATATAAATATAAATATAAATATAAATATAAATATAAATATAAATATAAATATAAATATAAATATAAATATAAATATAATATAAATATAATAAATATAAATATAAATATAAATAAATATAAATATAAATATAAAATAAATAAATCTAAATCTAAATCTAAATCTCCTCTAATATATAAATATAAATCTCTCCTCTAAATCTCCCTCTCCCTCTCCCTCTCCCTCTCCCTCTCCCTCTCCTCTCCCTCTCCCTCTCCCTCTCCCTCTCCCTCTCCCTCTCCCTCTCCCTCTCCCTCTCCCTCTCCCTCTCCCTCTCCCTCTCCTCTCCCTCTCCTCTCCTCTCCCTCTCCCTCTCCCTCTCCCTCTCCCTCTCCCTCTCCCTCTCCCTCTCTCTCCCTCTCCCTCTCCCTCTCCCTCTCCCTCTCCCTCTCCCTCTCCCTCTCCCTCTCCCTCTCCCTCTCCCTCTCCCTCTCCCTCTCCCTCTCCCTCTCCTCTCCCTCTCCCTCTCCCTCTCCCTCTCCCTCTCCCTCTCCCTCTCCCTCTCCTCTCCCTCTCCCTCTCCCTCTCCCTCTCCCTCTCCCTCTCCCTCTCCCTCTCCCTCTCCCTCTCCCTCTCCCTCTCCCTCTCCCTCTCCTCTCCCTCTCCCTCTCCCTCTCCCTCTCCCTCTCCCTCTCCCTCTCCCTCTCCCTCTCCCTCTCCCTCTCCCTCTCCCTCTCCCTCTCCCTCTCCCTCTCCTCTCCTCTCCCTCTCCCTCTCCCTCTCCCTCTCCTCTCCCTCTCCCTCTCCCTCTCCCTCTCCCTCTCCCTCTCCCTCTCCCTCTCCCTCCCCCTGTCTCCTTCTCTCTCTTCTCTCTCTCCCCGCCTTCCCTCCCGCGCCCCGCCCTTTCTCCTTTCCCCCTCCTCTCCACGAGTTCTACTTCTGACTGACTCTGCCCAGTCAAAATTCCAGTGATCGAACCTGTGCCAACACATACTAAGCCAATAGCTTCTTCTCATACTCATACTTATGATCAGACTCAACGAAGGAAGGCAATGGAACAGACTTCAACAGAATAGAAGCTGCAAGCACATGCTCTCTTGATGATATGAAACCAAGAAACTCTATTTTAGACCTTGACTCTCCTACTCTCTTACTCTCCTACTCTCTTACTCTCTTACTCTCTTTCTCTCTTACTCTATTACTCTATTTCACTTACACATAACTATATATAGCTATCGCTTCCCCTACTTACCTGATGCAGCAGAGCCACACAGTGGGTATCCTCTCTCGAGTCCATATGAACAGTTTTCAGGGCTAGCCACAGCTGCTGCACTCGGGCTGACAGATGCTTCCACCGTGTTATATTTGCACCAAATATTGAGAAATGCATCAGGATGTCTAAGTGAAACATCATACAGATGATGAAGTTGAAATAACAGCGCCATAGACTGATGAACTCTGCATCGGCAATTAGAACAACCAAATTGAAGAAAATTGAGATCTCAGTTAGATAGTTGGTGAAGACATTGAGCAGCATTTGGGCCTGAAAGATTTTCAGCAGCTCAACGAGCAGGTTGCTCAGGTGCAAACAGCTGTACCAGAGCCGACGCCAGGCAGCCAGCAGCTGACGTTGATAGACAGCGCGATGGCGGCCACGAGACGGGGGCAGCCAGCGCAGATCTTGTCTCAGCTCCAATGCCTCCTGTGACATGCACTCAAGCAGGCGATTGCTGGTGCCCAGCACAAAGTAAGTCAAGCTGTCTGTGCAGCTGACCAGCACTTCTAACAGAACTACAACCACTGAGAGCCCGATGTAGATGGGCGGCACTTCCGTAACGACTTCAACATCCACGCCGCACATCAGCGCGCTGCCGGGGCCAAACAACTGACTGAACAGCACCACGAAGCGCGTGTTACTGAGCAGCAGCTTCCAGAAGTGTCGGCGCCAAAAGCTGTAGTTCCAGTTATATTGGGCAAATCGGTCGAGCAGCCGTAGATAACCGTTGCAGACATGTTTGATGCGATGCCGTCGAAACCAAATGCTGCCCAATATCACGAACAGCGAACACGACTTAACCAGAGCCACGCAACTGAAGGCCATGGACAACATGTCCATGCCCTGGCAGCTGAAATAACTATACACCATGCCGAGAAAGCACATGGGCGTCAGCACCAGATAAAGTAGATTCAACAGCAGCCAATAAGCCAGCATCAGTCCATGATCGAATTCGAAACGCTTCCGTTCGGCCACATAGCGCAGATTGCACAAACCAATCGCTCGGCTTAAGCGAACGACAATTGCCAGCAGTTCCATGGTGCACAAAGTTCGTGCTGTGACTGAGTCCTTGACTAGTTTGGGTCGCCGAGTGCGCTTTTTAATGACTCGCTAAAAGCACTTTTGGGAATAGGATAATCACGGCTTTTACAGTGGCCAGCGTGAGCTGATTAAGCAGCTAATATAGCCAACTGTCAGCTCACATTATATAAATATTATTCTGGGCAATGTTGAGCAACGATTGACAGTAGTCGGCTTAAAATAAATTTAGTTTTAGCATTAGAGTCTTAAGACAGACAAAATTATGTATGTCTCTCGCTTTGCAATGTAATTTATTAAATTTATTTTATTTATAAATTTGTATTATAAATTTTAGTATACTTTTGGTGTGTGTGTTTAATAAATCTTATAAATATCGAACTCTCTTATATAGTAATAGTATATTGTAAGCAGGGAAAGTTTTCTCTGAAATCTATGCTCATATTCAAAAAGGCATAATCATATAATTTGTAGTATCAAAAATAGCATATAGAAGGCTATATATGTGCTTATCATGGCCTTTCCTTGCAGCGCTTGTCGCTTTTATCAAAAGAAATACCTGGGAAATTGTGAGCCTCAAAGCAACTCGATTATATTACTTTGCAACTCTTGAGCTCATTTATTTATAATTGATTAATATTTGTAAAATACTTTTAAGGTTTAATTTGTGCTTACAAAATATATTTTCATTATATTTATTGTATACTATTTATATTAAATATACTCAGGTATTTCATTTGAAATTATTAATCTAAAAAATGTTTTTATTTACAAATCAAATTACTGTAGGACAATGTAAATGCTAATACATAAAGTATATAAGTATATATAAGTACGCATACTTCACAATCAAAACGTTGGCAATTTTAAATATACAAAATGCATTATTAAGAAAGGCAAATACTTTTTTGTGTACATAAGAAATGCAGCTAAGAAATGTTGAGAAAAATTCTGCCTGGAATTTTTGATATATCAAAAAAAAAACTAAAGATAATTATTATTTAAATAATTTTATTATAAATGGATAAAAATTTACATACACTATTATTGAGCTAAAAAAATGTCTTAAGTTTTCAAGCTTAACTCAATAATTATAATATATATTATAACGTATATAATGACGTAAGCTTAAGTCACGCTTAGATATTCATTCAAACGAGATTAAGTACGCATCGAGATAGAAGCTGACTGCCAATCTGGCTCGCTTCCCTCTTATATTATCTAGCATAATACTTTGAACTAATAATACAGGCTTTAAGGATTTACTAGTGAAGAATCTGACTATATATATATATATATATATATGTATATCTTAGACAGAATAGCACCTTTAAGAAATATTAAATATATATCCCTCTACCTACCTCACATTCAATTATGCACCCACAAGTATCCTTCAAACTGGCTTTTAGAAATACCTTTAAATTAATTTAAGAAATTGGTGGGATAAGGATCTCATGATATCATATTTAGATACAGTAAGTGCTCTGATATTTGCCTAAGGAGTTCCATTAAGAAGTTTCCTATGGCATCTTCATGACTATCCATGGCACCCGACCGTGATATTTGTAGAAATAATAGTCATACGCCAGCTTGCCAAGAATCAGAATGATGAGGCTGGCGAGCACACAGTTGAGCCAGTCGATGGGATGGATGCGCATATCATCTTCGACGCTAATGTTGCACATATCGTGGCGGGTGAGGGTCAAGACCTTGGCCAGCCGTAGCTCGTCTCCCTGCATATAGGTGCAGGTGACATTCCAGGCATCCCGCACAATGTCCTTGTACTTGGTGAGGAACTCGCGAAGTCGCATGCCGAACTTGCACGTGCAATGCCAAGGATTCCTGCTAATCAGGAAGAGATTCGCATTCTCGTTATCGTTCAGCGCATTGTCCAGCGCATACACCTGAAGCTTGCGCAGCTGATTCCCCTGCAGGTTGAACAGACGAAAGTTTTGCAGCCAATAGGTGTCCTCCAGCACGTCAATGTTTGAGATCCAATTGTTTTCCAGCTGCACGTCCACCACATGCCGATAGTGTGGATTATCGCGCAATGGATTTATATCGCTGATCTGTAATCAATTGCGAGCTACTAAAGTGTAGAGTACAGTTTAGCCACTTTACCTACCTGATTATCATTGATATACAAGGTGGTTGTGTTCTCTGGCAAATACGCTGGCAAAGTCTGAAACTGAAGGTGCGAACAGTTGACCGTGTAAAGTGGAATGTATGACTTCGGGATGATGTGATGCATCAGGCAAGTGCAGTTCAGCAGATCTGGATGCGATTGGCACTCTCGGCGAAGCACCTGAAACAATCGGCAAGTTAATTAAGAGACTTATTTGTGCATGAGCTAACATGGGTGAGGAAAGTGTAAAGCCTTCTGATAGGCATTGTTATATGAGCCTAGATAGATAGGATAGAAAGTGTGCGTATTTCAGTGTTGACTTGCTCAAAAATACATTCATGTACTAGAAATCGAGCTAGTCTTCTCAGCTGTCGAAATAGTGGGATGACTTAAAGAACTTCTTTAGGTAAAATTTGCTTCATTTAAATTGTGAATCTTATCAAATGATCTTTATGCAAAGTAAATACAAATAACACCACTCAAGTCAGCAGTCAGATTCTGCAAAGTTTCATATATTATAATTGAATGCATTCAAAAAATATAACGTATACGTAATATGTGAATTCGTTGTATACAAATATTAAGTATACGTAAACCTTGTCTTTGTTGTAAACAAATATTACAAAATTTACGTATACGTTATATATACTAACATACATACTAAAATACCAATATATAAATTACGTATACGCAATGTGTGTATTCTTTATATGTATTCTCTATGAAAATTGGATGCGTCAGCTCTTAGAAACGTGCGATTTTTCTTAATTAACTAGCGTTTGAAGCCGTTTTCATGGCTATGGAAAATTCTGTCAAATAATTTTAATAATATTAGAGCTGAGTGCCAAGTCGACTCGACTGTTGCTGCTAATCAAGGTTATAATGACTTTATGGACTCGATGAAGCTTGATAAGCATGATCAATTTATCCAACACAAACGCTCTCTACTCACCACCTTGTAGTGCATGACCAGCAGCATTTGTCGCTCTTTGTACTTGCGATCGGTGCAAATGAGCTCCTCGCGATCAGCCACCAAGCGACCCTTCTCTGGCTGCAGCAGCAGCCACTTGAAGTTGCGCGTGCAGTTCCACGGATTGCCCGCCAGGTAGAGTTGCTGGAAGGAGTGCGGCAGCATCAGTGGTCCATCCAGCTGTATGAGTTGATTCCAGCGCAGATCTAAGACTTCCAAGGCGTGTATGCGCTTGAAGGTGCGCGCCGAAATGTACGAGAGATTCGTCCAGGAGATATTAATGGCCTGCAAGGCAATGCACATGAGTTTCAGTTCTTCAAGCTTGAAGCGTGTCTAACGGCACCTGCAGGTGATACATATCTGGAAAATCAAATATGAACTCCGTGAAGCCGCTGTACTCGATGGTCAGTGCGCGCAGCTGTGAAAACTTTTGCAGCTCACGCAGCGGATTGAAGGACTCCCTTGGCCAGCCGCATAAGAGCATCTGCTGCGCCGGCAAAGCTTTGCCCGGCTTCGAGCTGCAAGTGAAGACAACAAGACATCAAATAGATCTATAGTTGCCTAGGGATATTCCCCTACTTTAATGCTGCCAGATTGTTCATGCCGCCATAGCATCTGATCAAGCCATTGCGCGATAGCCTCGTGCAGTTGCCATCCGCAGCCTCTGGCGCCGACGTCCAGTTGACACAGCTATGGCTGGGTATCAAAGCGGGTATATTAGTTGCTGCTGCTGCTGCTGCTGCTGTAGTTGTCAGAGTCATGGACTCATCTTGAGCAGCGACTACGCCGCAAAACCTGTCACAAAGAAGCTATAATTAAAGCTAATATACGCAATATGTACGAAGTTGTCTGCAGTTAAAGCTATTTATAGACCTATGCCTGCGCCTCCCAGGTGATAATTGTTGTCATGCCAAAACCTCAGACCAAAATACATTCATATGCCACTGGCAAGAGCTGACAAGGCTCAGCCAATCATAAAAAGCGTGTGACTGACTTTAATTTTGTTTTATTACTTTATGGTACGCAGTAGTCGGGAGTATAAACAAATTCATTGGTTTAACCCATATAGCCCATATACCCCAGATTGTATACAGATAGGTATAATATGTATATATGATACAGGTAAGGATGCAAGATATCTCTATATATAAGTGTGCGACTAAATACACTTAAACACTTTGTGCTGCTGTTGATTACTAAATATAAGAGCCAACATGTTGAGGCCCTAATTTGCTTTATGTATTAGCGTGAATCGATATTGATACAGACTGTGGCCACTTAGCACATTGGTAGATCTATTTGTAACCTATATATATATAGACAATGCACACTTGACACCAAGTGCCCAGATTTGTATAAAAAAGGCAGATAATTAAAAGAAATATAATCAATTGGTTATAAAAATAATACGAAAATAAATACTGAATAAAACTAATTTAAAATAAATATATTTATATAAATATATAATAATAAAAAAAATATATAAATATAAATTAAATAATAACAATTAATTAAAACTAATAATAAATATATAATAATAAATAATACAATAATATATATGTAATAAATAATAAAAATTAAAAATAAAAATTATGTAATAATAAATAAGACAGTAAAATAAAAAAAATTATAATAATTAATCTATATTAATATTAAATAATATGAATCATTTTTATATGTTAAGGTTCTAATAGAAAAAAAATATAAAAAAAAAACAATAATAATAATAATTAAAACGCAGTTTATAAAATAAAAATAAATTGATTTGTGATATGAAAATATTTTTCTAAAAGCTTCTTGACCGCTTCTCGTCTATTCGTCTAATCTGCGAGCTGAACTCATGTTTCGCTCGGCTAGAAATTTATTAGTCAGAAATATATATATTCCAAATCAAATGTTTTGTGCTTACAATTTCAGTGTTATATTTGTTGCTGGCCTTTGAGAATTGTTTAGTTGCAATTAGCAACTTATTAGCGCTGTGGCTTGCGAGCAAGTGTTAAAATTAATAATATACAAGCGACAAAAAATGGTAGAAGAAAAAAAAAAACAAATTTCAAATTGACGAAAATATTTGCTTTGTAATTCAAATAAAATTGCTGCAGTAGCTGCTGACTTGGCCAAAAATCGTGAACTTTCAATATTTGCGCAAATGTTTTATGTTTTTCAGTTCCAATCCCAGACTAAAAAACTAACTGGAGATTTAGTTATTTTAATTATATTTAAATTTCATATATTTATGAATTTCTATTTGGAAGTATTTGTTATTCGTTTTCTTGTGCATCGAAAACGGGTCAAACTAATATTTAATGGATGTCGGTCAAAAAATGGAGGACAAGTCTAAAGAATTAAATTGCAGCTCAACTTATTTATTATATTTTATAGGTTTGGGGATTTTTCCATATTCTTTATGGAAATATGTAATTTGTATATATTTTTGTATTTATTTTTATGGATCTAGACAGTAAAACAAATCAAATTTTTAATGAATCTTATGATAAATCTCAAGCTCAAATTTTATTCTGTTACGCTAATCACTTTTTAATAATTTAATTATATAATTTGAATATTTTTGCCTAATTTATTCATATTTCATTTCTTTCTTTACATATTCTCAACAGACAACAACAATAATTTCAACCTTGCTCAATTCAATTCGCAATCAACTTCAATTGAAATGGGTTTCATGCTCTTCAATTCGTTCACGATTTTATTAAGTCAATTGAAAAACTATTAAAATAAATAAATAAAAAATATATGTTGACTTTAATTATGATTCTCTTTGGTTCAAGATCCAGGTCACTTAAATACTGTAATTTATAAAATTAATTTAATGATTTTTAACTTCTTCTGGCAGATCTTAAAATATGATATGAAATTTATAAATTTCTTTTGGCTTGTCACTTTGTGGCCGGCACTCGAAACTCGTTTATCAAATTGCGATCGCAAATAAATCAACTTAGAAATTGTTCACGCATCGACTTTCAATTGGTTTTCAATCGAAAGACTCTAATTGCTAGCAAGAGTTCGACATACTCTATATGCTAGGCCTCAACTAAAAGCAGGTAAAGAATATTACCTATGATGATGAGCGCATTGTGGCGATGGGTATTTGAATTGACTCTATATATGTTGAAGACTGGCTTGAAAGTTTAAAGAAAGTTAAATTATCGAAATTGAAAAGTAGAAATTGCAGCTTGATCTGTTAAGTTGGTCGAAATGACTGCAGAATGAACTCCAAAGCCATGCCATGCCCTATACATAAATATATATATAGGGTATACAGCAGTATAAAGTAAAGTCCAAGACTCTGCAGCCGTCTTCCTCAACTCAAACCTTACTCCAACCAAACGACTCTTTTAACTGCTCTGCAGTAAAAATGCCAGGGTATACGAATTTCCAGGTAGAATGAAGGTAAATATAGTAAGTATATCAGAAGTTATTTATCTGTCTGTCATGTGTTGAAGTTTTATTTTCATAGTCTTTAAATAGACCATGCGGCAAGATAATTTGGGCATATAGCCCAAATCAAATGTACATAGGCAGAGCGAGGCAGAGATCCATTATCTATTAAGGCAGCTCGCACAGAAGCAAGATAGTTCAAATTACTTACATGACAAGAGTTTTTTCATGCCGAAGACAAAAAATAAGCTTTTTTACTTGGGCAAGATTAATGGAACTTTATGGAACTGTTACAAAGAAATCAAAAAGCCCATTAAAACGCAGCTCTTAAGTAGTTAAGAAATGTTTTAGATGAAGGAATGCTAAGATGTTAAGCAAAATTTAAAAAAAAAAATTTAATTACATATTTAGAAAACAGAAGATAAAAGACTGTCTGCAAGCTCATCTCTGAGTCTCAATGATATATAGCGATTGCTGCTGTTAGAGAGAAGAAAAGAGAGAGAGAAGACCTAATCTAGATTCTCTGTGCAGTTTATGCGTTGTTCATGAAGTCGAATACTTGAAAACTTTTTATAAACTGAACTGACAATTCTGGTCAATTTAGGCATAAAACAGGTTGATTGTCCTAGAATTAAAATTAAAAATGTGTCATTCAATTAAGATAAGAATATATACAAATATTATATATATATATATACTTTGTGTATACAAATTGATTGATAAAAGTTTAATAAATCATTTAGTTATGGTGAAAGCGTCACAATGCCTTTTACACTAGATATATATATACAAACATATTTATACCACTTTATCTAGGTGTATTGCGGTTAAACACATGTAAAACAGCTTTCACGATAAGCCGCATTTGACGCCGCTTTGCATTGATAAACACAATAAACAAAAGAAGTGAACAGCTTGATTTATAAAAGAGTTAAATATTGACACGGCAGGCAGCTGAGGTCACATAGAGGAACCGACTTTGTTCACAAGCAGATAATATTGCGCATACGCCGTGTAAACGCACCTGTTTGCCGGTTTCAATACACAGATATATATTTCTTATTTCTTAATTAATACCTGCCAGAAATAGCCAAGAGCAGCTGAAGAGTAAGCGTAAATGAATTTCCATTAACTAATCTGCTTTGATATAGCATTGCCACACACTCAATTCACAGACACAAGCTCAGGTACGAAGTCGATGCGAACTCTTTGAAAACACGTGTAAACTTCAACAAATTGTACAACTCGCACATGACTTCTGTGTTGTTAGGCGCGAATTGCAGCAGATTTGTTTATACTTCTATATATATATAACTGTACATTTCCATATATTTAATGCATGTTCTAAATATGCCTGGGCAGTTGCGGTTTACTTTTGTAATCACTCTGGCATCCGTATCTCTCTCGCGCGGCCAGTGCTACTTTTCTCGCGTTTGAAGTTCAAATGAGGCGCAAATGCGAAACGCTGACATATTTTGTTTTTGGCGGCATCGCCGATCTCTTCCATCAAATACAAAATCAGCTGTTGGGAGACATCAGTGCGAGCCAATTGTGCGAGAGAGAGTTTTTGTTGTCGTTATGAAATGCTGTTGCTATCATAGGTAGCTGCTGCTGCCAGTCTGAGTGCGTATGTGCATATGTGTGTGCGTGTGTATATAGGCCCATGTATGTCAACACATATAGAGACAGCATCAATCAGCTGATTGCTCATAGAAAATTGTTTACGCCTATACCGAAATTTATTGACCGCGACACACGCATACTAATGGCTTTAATGTCTATTTAACTTGACCAAAATAACTGCTTGTCTATAAAAAGTTGGGTTTATAACGTATTGTGATTGGTCATGGAACGTCAATTGTCGGGTTTAACTTTCAAATCGACAGCGCTGTGATCTTATCTGTTTCGCTTAAGCAGTAAAACTACAATTGTATTCTTACTACTTAGACAAGTGACTTTTTTAGTTATAGTTTATTGTGTATTTGTACATTTTGTAGTCAACAGCGCATTTGTAATTCTAAAGCTTTTCAATCGGCATCAAAAACAACTAAGGAATATAGGTAACAGAAACCACTTGAGCAAACATCCAAATATTGTAGCCTACATTCATTTATCCTAATGCATATTATATAGACATATATATATATTGTGCACTATAGCTGCTTACTCTCTGGTAGTTTTCAGTTTTTGGTTTCATAATTGTGTTAGTTCTTGTGCTTATTTGGACCATTTGAAATGCGTTGTTTAAATGTAGGTTTTACATCCTTATGACTATGACTTGAGAAATTTGTAAGCTCGCATAACGATGTCTTATTGAGCTAATAGTTACAACTGACAAATTTGGTACACCCTTCACAAATAATTCAATATAGTTGTAATTTCTACAACATCTAATCTAAGATTCGACTCTCTCTGCAGGCGTTACGTCAACGTCATTCACTGCCGGTGGATTCACATTGTATTGAACCTTTTCATTGGTCTCTGCTTGCTTTTGTCGCTCATAGATGCGCACGTCCTCCAGCGTCATGCCGTACCACTCGTCCAGCCAAGCAAACGCCTGACGATGACCCAGCAGCAAAATATCCCGAATAGCACGCTGTATGAACTCCTCCACTTTGGTTTGCAGGCCCCAGACCTCGAAGCTGGCATGGACCACTTTATAGGAGCACATAATAGGAGAATCTATTTCACGCCAACCCTCTACCAAAGGACCACGATCTGCAAGGGCCAAAATGGTTAAAGACTATATAGTTTCCTGTTATGCTTAATGGATTACAGTTATAAGATATATTAGCAAAAGTAGATAGAAACGGAAGGCGCTTCATAGCTAGAGATAAGCTGATTTCTTTTGAAATTGAATGTGACAAATGGCATAAACTAACTTGTCTTATCTGACTTGAAGAACTTTGGATCCTCTTCGCGTTTGTAGTGCTTGCCCGTTAGATCATCGAATGCAATGTCCACGTGATCCACCACACGAACCTTCAACTCATCATCGCATAGATCCAGGCACTATATAAGAAGATACATATAAATAAATCGCTTTGACTAAAGCTAATGCTACTCACGTTCTCTGTGCTGCCATTGTTATTCTCATATTTTGTCTTGATTAGGACATTTAGTTTGGGTATGAAGGAACACTGTAATTTAAAGAAAATATTTATTCAAATAGAGTTCATCGAGAGTTCAAATCAATTTATTTAATTACCGTGTATTCTGCCAATTGTTTAAAGTTTGACGAGCACATGAAAATATATAAATGGGGAAAAAGCAATAAATGATATATCTCTTGATTCGAGCTATGTTTATTTTTGCTTGAGTTCTATAAAAACACAAATGTAATTTACCGAGAGGCAATTAGGTCTGGGAACTAATGAGGTGTTGCGTGGGTGCGTATCGAAAATCTGTTTCGATTCATTGGAATTGGTTGAATGAAAAAACAGCAGGAAATAATCGATGTCGATTTGTGGAACAAAAACAAAATATAAATCAGTTTATGTTTATTATTAAAGATTTTTTGAATTGACTCATATGTTTCATGCAATTTCAATTCGATCGATACAAACGATCTGAGTGCTAACTACTTAATTTAGATTTACATCGACGACCCCAAGTCCCATCAATCAATCAAATCAGAACATGCGTTTACAGAGAAAGCCCATCCTAACTAAGTCTGATTACTGCTCTCATGTTCCACAGCTTATCGAGAGTGTTTGCTGACAATGGAGCAACAGCAACAACTGGCTTTAAGCTGCATGTGAAGTGGAACAACTGTTAGCAATTTGGGAACTGAGGGCGGGGATTCGACACAATTGAATTGGGCAGCTCTAATCTCTAGAAGTAATCTCTCTCTCTATATATATATATTTATATATATTTGGTATATTCTGTCATGCTTACCAAATTTACGCTGTAAGTGTTATCAGACGTAATGAATGGCTGTGACTGTGACGTATCTATGGTATGACAAGTGTGATATGAGCACATGGATATGTACAGTGAAAACTATGTTAACGAACAGCTCGAGACAGTCAACAGCTTGGATTGTCAGACAGTAAACTCATATAAATTCGCAAACTTGAATATTTTAACTCCAATTGACTCTAAAACCTTAAACCGAAACCCTAGCTGCTCACTCTTGCCAGAGTTCACTGTATATAATAATCAAAGACCAAAGAAAAGGTCAAGCGACTGCCATATGGCAAACGCGACTCTAATGTCAATGCTATAAATAAGTGGACTTGCTATAAAAATAAATACCCTGCATATATATAAACGCTTACCTGTTAGCGTATAAGGATAGTAGTTCCATGACTTCTCAGTCACATAGAAGACGCGCGGACATATGGCCTGAATCCAGTAGGGAAGCCGACTGCGAAAACCAAAAAATATGATTAGAGAAGATAATTTTGAAACGATGTTCGGCTATCGCACTTGGACAGGTGTATGCGTTTTTCTGTGTACTGTCCGACGCCATGAACGGGATCCTCACAGGGCTTGTTGTCCATCACCTCGACACCTTCGCCCTCGTCCGATTGCTCCAGACTGTGGCGCGCAATCATATATAGCTGACCGATTTTGTACTGCGAGTGCGAAATGCTAAATTATTAATCATTTGACAAGTACGGTATTTACTTACCTCCTCGACAGTGAGCGGCATGCATACACGATATTCTTTTATCAACACCATATCGTAAGGTATTCAAAAAAAAAGTTACTCAAATGAATCTAACGTTACGAAAGAACGGCACACGAGACGGAACGCAACTGAGGCAACAACAAAATAAAATGTTCTACTTGCAAGCTCCCGATATAACTATCGATAGTGCAATCGATTAATTTGCATTAATTACTAATTAATTTAATTTTGAATTCTTTTTACATTTACAAACCAAATATATTATTTATTTGTTATTGATTTATTGTTATAAATATTAATATTTTAGTATACAATTTTGGTATAATCTCTTTCAGTTCTCCAACTCAAGCAATTATGCTGAGCTGCTTGTCGCCACCGTACTGGCCCTGGCTTGATTGATTGAAAATTCCTTACCAATTTGAGTATATCGATATTAAAATGACTAGCACTCGACGAACGGTCACACAGGTTGATTGCTAAGGGTTTTTTTGCTAATACCAAAACTAAACGCTGCTCGTAAAAACGTCAAAACGCGACAAAATAAGTAATAAAAAGTAATTACACTTGCATAAATATATATATTTAAGGTACGCTAACAAAATGTATATGAAATGACCAACAGAATCTTATGTTATCGTGCATAAATAAAGTGCAAATGGATCACAAACTGCTGTGAAAAAGTGTCACAATAATAAATACACACAACCCAATACATATGTACAATATTACATAGATTTGCAAGTGGGTGTTAGCGTGTGTGTCTGTGCGTGTGTGAGTGTTTGTGTGATACATACTCATCATTGAATTCGAATGCATTTAGTATAATTAGTGCCTAACCACGCTCACTTTTCCCGTCTACAGTTCACTGCGACGCGACACAACGAGCGAATCCGCCATCGGCTCGGCTGTGGGACGTGCAATGTTTAGGATCCGTGTCAAAATGGGTCCGCAACGCAACCACAACAACAATGGCAATGGCAACAGCAACAGCCATGGCCGCATCAATAAGGAATGGACCTGCTGCTTTGGCCTGCACGTACATACCGCTACGCTAATGATTGGCCTTTGGCATCTGGTAAGCAAAATTGCGACGCAATATCCTTGATCTTACTGCCTACGCATGACTGCAGCTAAATACACGCACACATGCCCACATGCACACCATACACCCATTCGAGTTGACCCTGTTCAGTGTCACACAAAAGGGAAAAATCAATTGTCGCTGCACACTATGACTCTCAAACTGTTGCCGACTCGATTCGACTTTGAAAGTTGCACGAGCTAGACGAAGGTTGCCAACTTTCGCCTCGCACCGTTGTGACGTCACACGACACTTGCTGCGGATTTATCAAGCTTTCTGTATGCATAAAAAAACTCAATTGCAATGCCCAATTCAAGTCACCAAATCACCTGATTATGTTACATTGAAACCATTTATAGTTATTCACGCGCATACGACGTGATTATATGAAGTTGTTTTAATTTCATCGTAATTTTATATGATGAGTTTCAAATTTCGGTCTAGTATTTCAAGTCAACAGTGTTTATTGCAAAAAGTTCTTAGTTAAGCTAAATGCTTTTAATATACATATGTATATATACATATAGTTTGTATCATTCAGTTATATGTATTATGTATGTATGTATTATGTATGTATGTATTATGTATGTATGTATTATGTATGTATTATAGCAGCCACTAACATTGACCTTGAACATGCACATAAGTAAATAGCATTTAGAAGTTTTCCATTTCAATGCGTTCCTGTTTTTCTTGCCGCAACTGTAAACATTTACTTTGATTGTTGTTTGTTTACCAAATATCTGTCCAGCGAACTGTCTTTAGACAATTTCGCTTATCTCTAACGGACTCAACTGAGTAAATTTTGGACTGACTTGGCTCACATTGTGAAGCAGTAAAAAGAAAGCAAAAGCTTTATTAGCGATGTTTGATTAGCTGTATTTATATAGCTGTTTGGCCTCTGCTTGTAGTAAATAACTATAGTATATGATAATTCAGCTCATAAACAATATTTATAAGCAATTTCCGTTCGTCTTTAACTGTCAAATCAAATATATTCTCAAAAAACTGACACTATTGACATGTTTTGAAAAGAGAGCCCTATTATTAGCTGAAAATAAATTTTTGATGTATAATGTTTTCGGAACAACAATTGGTGGTCAAAGGGTCACCACAGCCGATCTTGTGGACGGCGTTGAAAACGAGGCGAGAGATAATACGACGTCGATTAAGTCGGTTGTCTCCTATAAACCACTAAGCGAGGAGTCCGAGGATGGCGAAGGCCAGCAATGGGAGGAAAGTATTCAGGCCAAACCTGTGCCGCCCACAATTTGTCTGCCCGAAACGGCGTACAATAATTTGGAGGCTCGTACGCTGCAGTCGTTGGGCCACGCGCAGCTAACTGAGTGGCCAGCTTCGGAGGCAGGCCAAGTGAGCATAGATAAGCCGAATCTCTACGATTTGCTGTTGGCACTCGTGAGAAAGAACTTAAAGACGAATACTGTGATTACCTTGGGAGAGAGCTGTCTGCACGTTCACCTCATTGTGCTGCAGTGCTTCTCGGGTCTGTTCTGTGATTTGGGCAGCAACACGGTGCAAGTGGAGTTGCCAACTGATTGGGTGACGCCTCGTGCTTTTCGCCTCATATACGAATGGATGATTGTGGATACGCCACTCTTATCGCGGCTCGGCTTGTTGGAGGTGCTACGTGCCGCCAGCTTTCTGCGGATGCCTCAGCTGGAGAAGCAATGCGAGCATTGCCTAACGCATGGCATCACGGAGGAGTCGGCGGTGCTGCTGTATCTGGAGGCGCGACTCTTGCGCATGGAACGTGCTCATCGGTCGCTACTGCAGCGTGTCAGTCGCTTTTATCTGACCCTAGTCGCATCGCAGGAGTTCCTGCAGCTGCCCATCCATGCAGTTTGGCTGCTGCTCAGCTCGAATAACATTTCGGTCAATTCCGAGCTGGAGGTTTTCATGTCCGCCGTGCGCTGGCTCAACTTTCAATGGCCCAAGCGTCAGCCGATAGTAGCCAAGCTACTGTCCTGCGTACGCTTTGCGCTGGTGCCTCCCTGGCTGCTCATACGCCTGCACGACTGGCAGTCCAAATATGTTGAGCTAAAGCGTATCGTCTCTCTGCCGGAAGTAATGCAGCAACTACACGATGGCATTGGCTATACGACGACTCGACTCTGCTATGGCTCCGATCGAGATGCCTTCATGCAGCATCTGGAACGCACTGGCATGCAGCCGCCGCAGCAGCGCAATTGGATCTATGATCGCAAGTGCAGCTATCATCATCGACTGCACTGCCACATCTCCGAGGAGTTCACCTACGAGACTTTCCTCAACTATCTCAGCTGGCTGCAAACCCAACATAAGAATTATTGGCAAACGCTGGAACCAGTCGACGCCGCTGAGTCGTGTCTCTGCTGCCAAAAGGCAGCTGAAGAGCAGGCGAACAGCACTAAGAGTTAAGCTAGAACCTTCATTCCTGCAAATATATAAACACAGCTGTCCCCTATGATTAATGTCCATGTGTCTGTGCCAGAGAAAGGTTGGCTTCCATTTTAGAGATCGCTAATTACTCACAGTTGTAAGTTATTAACTAAGGACAGCTCTTATAATAATTAACTCTTACCCTCATCTCTTCCATTACTTAAGTTTCATGAAGAGGCTTACTATCTCGTCTCAATGCAATTCCTGCACCTTATATCCATCTTGTCATCGTTTATCATCCTCTTTTCCGTCCTTCATATAATTCACAGTTCTTAAATATTCTGGCGCTAAGCGTGCTGGCTGTCATCTGGCGCAATCCGGAAATGATGGATGAATTGGAAAGTGGCAGTCATGATTTTACCGTTGATCTGAATGCACCTGCATTGCCCACACCGTTGAGCAAAGTGGATCCACCTTACGCCTATCGTGATCATTCCTTCAACTATCGTAAGCGTTACCGTAAGCACTAAATACTCAACTGCCGCAGCAAATCAATATTAAATTAGCTATTTTGTGTTTGCAGAGAACTTTGATATGGGCGGTCTGGTGTGCACCTGCATGATAGCCATTACCCTGATGATGATATATGGCACTATCAAGGGCAAGCCGTCACATCTTTTGCCCTTCTTCTGCCTGCAGCTGTTTGACTTTGCCATTACGACGTGAGTGCCATCAAAAACCACTTTTATGTAAGAAATTCTTGTCTTACCTATTTTGTTTCGCTTGTAGTTTGACTGCGGCTGGTTACCTATGCTATCTGCAGGCCATCCATCGTTTTATTGCCGAGTCTCATCGGCTGCCGTGGCGCGAGAAGCTGCTGGAGCTGCCCCCAGAGGAGCTCGTTGTGGTTGTGCTAGTGGTTTTCGTGTGCATCGTGTTCCTTAAAGCCTATTGCATTGGCATCGTATGGCGTTGCTATAAGTACTTGACGCTCCGGCAACAGCATCTGCGCAGTTTGCTGCCCTGCGTCCTGCCCGAAATGGCAGTACGTGGCGGCATTGTTGGAGGTGGTTTTGGATCTGAGGAGCGCACGTATTCGACACTGCTGCCCAACTATGATGAGGCAATTGCTCAATATTTGAAACAGGCACCGCCGCCATCCTATCAGGTGGCTATGTCCAACTATCAGAATGAGGACGAGAATGTCGCTGGCGAGGCACAGGCTCAGCCGGACGGTGGTGGCAATACACCATTGTTTGTGGCACTGAATGCAGGCGCTGTCAATGCTGCACCTAATTTGGATGACAACGTGGACAACAACAACGATATGCCCAACAACAACAATACGGTTCATGTCAATGCCAACACGCCACCAATGCGACGTAGCGAGCAAACGAATCCTGGTAGCGATAACGTATCCGATGATGGCAACGAAGACGATGCTGATCTAGAGGTTATTGATGCTGGCATTGATGTAATCGAAGGCGCAGTTCCGCCACCGCCATACAACGATGTTGCTGCAGCTGCTGCTGCTGCCGCTGGTCATGTGCAAGGAGGATCGCAGTCGCCGCTTAGCCGCCAGGTGAACATACCCGGTCAGGTGCCTGGGCGCAACGAGAGTCAGGCCTAAGTTGTGATTTCTTTAAAAGTTTTACATGATTATTGTGTTGTGAGCAGAACCCTTCGCCCACACGCTGGCCCTTCTCCCCCCCTCTCTCTCTTTGTCTCTCTCTCTCTCTTTCTCTCTCTCTTGCCCTGCCACAAGCACAACTTTTGTACTTTGGTTGCAATTTTTCCCCCTTACCCCACTCTCACAGAGACAAATCCAAGCAGTTGAATTTCACCCATCCCTGTTCTCAATCGTCTATTAATATTGTATACAAAAAAAGAAAACAAAAAGCAAAAATATTGAGAAACGTTTTGAATATAGAAAATCATTCAAATGTATACCTCTAGCCGTCGCGTATTGTTGTTGAACTTGAAAACGCATTAGACCTATCCGTATAAATAAATAATCTCTGAATTTTGCTCTTCAAGTTAAATTATTATATACGTAAAGCACTGGTTTTCATTTATTTATCATGTGAATTGTACCTAGATAAGCGCAAGTAGTTGTTACCAAAAAGAAATGAGAGCCAAGCGGATGTTACCAGAATCTGAAAGGGAAGTCTATGCGAACGCATATTCTTTTTATGTTCTAAGCTAACTTTAAGACTTTGTGCATATTATTAACACAGTATGTCAATTTCTGTTTAAGTTTCTGTCTATTTTGTTTTTACTTCAATTACCACACTTCAAAGACATCCAAAAAAAATAACAAAAACTACAAAATATAACAATATTTTATGTATGTACAACATCTATATGTATACTGTATACTAAATATGCAAAAATATTCAAATAAATATTAGTTTAAAATGAAACAAATGCGAATTTTATTATTTGTTATGATAATGTATGGAGCAGGCTGAAAAAGGCTTGGGAAACAGCAACGGGCGATGAATCCAATCTAACTATGTCTGTCTGCCTGTCCGACTGTCAGCCTCTCCGACTGTCAGCCTCTCCGACTGTCAGCCTCTCCGACTGTCAGCCTCTCCGACTGTCAGCCTCTCCGACTGTCAGCCTCTCCGACTGTCAGCCTCTCCGACTGTCAGCCTCTCCGACTGTCAGCCTCTCCGACTGTCAGCCTCTCCGACTGTCAGCCTCTCCGACTGTCAGCCTCTCCGACTGTCAGCCTCTCCGACTGTCAGCCTCTCCGACTGTCAGCCTCTCCGACTGTCAGCCTCTCCGACTGTCAGCCTCTCCGACTGTCAGCCTCTCCGACTGTCAGCCTCTCCGACTGTCAGCCTCTCCAACTGTCAGCCTTTTTTCCCGTTATGTAGGGTATCCTCTAGTCAATAACTTAGCAACAATTAACTAAATTGTGAACGGTGTTCTAGAATTTTAGACTAGCCACACGCCGCTGGGCGTGGCTATAATTTTTACTTAATCTGGCGACGATTTCATTCACAAACAAAATAATGGAATTATTTACAATTTATTGGAGCGCATTTTTAGATAAGATTTCTAATGAACTGAATATCGTAAATCATTCGCCAAACATCACGTGTTGCATAAGAAGTAAATTGAAGACCTTTGTTCACCTGACATTGTCGAATACCCTGTAAATTTTAGTGTATTTCTATATGACGCAGTGGAGTTTTATATTAGATCTATAAAAGAGTTTCGACTCATTGAGAGCACAATGGATATATTGCCCAAATGGCGGAAGCTGGAAGCCAAACACACTTATGAGAGCTTACCCAATTGATTGGAAGTGCCTAATCTTCTAATGGAAATCACATATTATTAAATTTGAATTTATTACACATTTTCTTAAAATCTCAAGCGCTACGCATGCCAAATATATTCTTCTTTGACTATTGTTCTCCCTCGCTGATCAAGTATATATATATATCAAGTATATATATATATACCTTAGGCTCTTGTATACCCTCTATTATTGATTTCTATACATCAAATTGACAGCGCTGAAATTTGATTTGCAACTTATTATTTTTCTGTATTCATTTCTTTGTTTTTCTATTGAGCTGACTAATAAATGTATTATCTGTTTACGTATTTATAGGAAAATAAGAAAAAGTACTCTAGATGTAAGGGTCTGACTAAATGATGACTTGAACAATGCGCCGAGCTTGTGTTCGAAATAGAATTTATAAGTAAAAAATATACAAGCAATGGAACATATGGAATAAAGTGAAAATCTATAGCTAACTTTCATAGTCTAGCAGCCATTTTAGTATCTCAGTATAGTCTTCGAGATATATATATAAATCCAATATCTGATATTATTGAAGTTATATAAACAAAGATCGCTGCTGCTTAGTCTTAGTAGTAGTAGTCTATAGTTAGTTATAGTTTAATAAACTAGTTATGTATAACACGACGACTACATGGCTCCATAAGATTTGTTACGCTGTACTCACATGACTCTATCGCATCTTTATTTTATTATTATTATTTTATTTATTCATACCAAACTTAACACCTTTTTCTTTTATACTTTTCGTATCTATATATACCAAATTGTGAGGCTCTGAAACTTATAGTCCTTGAGTTATGTCAGACAAATTAGTTCTGTTGCTTATCCTTAGCAAGAATTTCATAACGCAAGTGCTTCCTAATATATAGCCAACTTATACATTTTAAATGAGTTCAGAGTATTTGCAGTGCATCAAATTGTTACAATAATATTGTAGCCAAAGTCGTGTAGCAAATAAAAACGATTGATTGACGCACCTTACACTATCTTTAAGGAGCAGCTGTCATAAATGTATCAAGCTCTATCTTTATTATAAATGAATTCACTAAATTTTTTCGTAATTAATAAATAAACTCAAACAACATCTGATAGATTACAAATTATTTATAAAATAGATAAATCACAAACGACTTTACACTGTTGCGGTATATAATCGAAACTAGTTTTACACCTGACATCAGTTGAATTTTTGGAGTTAAATATGTCTGGCATATAAATTTGTCTATAGATTCAAGGCAGTGATAGACTTATATTATATCTTTTAGGCTTTTGAGAGCGAAACTCGATATTTATAATTGAAAACCAACTCCTTGGAAATTTAGGGTATTTTCTAGTCGGGCCGTTTTGATCATAGCTATTAAGACTTATATTTGCGATATTCATTCAACAGCTTAAACTTATCTGTTAGACAGATTATTGTGCGAGTTGGCTTATCTGGATTTACGCTGATTAATGGCTTCCTTACATTTTAGCTTGTGATGATGGCCTAAGCAATTCTTCTAGAGGCTTTCCATAAAAGCAACTTGATCTGTAATACAATATATTCGCCTTTCCTCTCTCTCTCGCTCTCTGCCTCACTCTCTTCTAATGGAAAGGCTTAACATACAAATTGTTCATACAAATTTATATAATTATATAACAATTTTCAGTGGTTTTCTTGCTTTTGCAAATTTTATAAAATGTATTTTATTTTTTTTTTTAAATATTTTAATATTCTCTTAGCCAATATTCATTAGTTTCGAGTTGAATATCCCAGGCTAATTACAATATTTTTGTGTAAACAACATTAAAGTTCTTAATACCTCACGTGTCTACCATTTAATATTAATTTTAAAGACAAAGTCCAATACAAAATCTGGCTACTTTCACTAATGGACTAGATGACACTGCCCTAGTCCTATTATCAGCAGCGCTTACTTGCGATGTTTGAAAGGTTTGAGCCAATGCAGCAGCCATAAATCAGAGAAATCACAATCTGCGTTGTAAATTCATGGAATGCATTCATTTTGTTTCGGCAAGCTAAAAATATAGAAGATTCAGATACTGGTATCAGGACTATTTATTGATAGTATTTTATCAGGCCATGGCCATGGGTATAAAAGCAGCCGAGCTAGGTCAGTTGGCATAGAAATCTTTTCGATTCGCAAACATGGTTAACAAGGCTATCATCGCTCTGGCTGTGCTGCTCTGCGCACAGGCCGTCGTCGGAGTGGCTGTTGTCTCCAAGGCAGCTTGGGGCGGACGCAATCCCACCAGCAAGACCACTTTGGGCAACTACTTGAACTATGCCGTCATCCACCACACCGCTGGCAACTACTGCAGCACCCGTGCTGCCTGTGCCCAGGAGCTGCGCAACATCCAGAACTACCACATGAACAGCCTGGGCTGGGCTGACATCGGCTACAACTTCCTGATCGGCGGTGATGGCGCTGTCTACGAGGGTCGCGGCTGGAACGCAGTGGGTGCCCATGCCACCAACTGGAACTCCAAGTCCATTGGCATCTCCTTCCTGGGCAACTACAACAACAACAAGCCCACCGCTGCCATGATCAGCGCTGCCAAGGGTATTTTGGCCGATGCCGTTTCCCGCGGCCAGATCGTTTCCGGCTACACTCTGTACGGCCATCGCCAGGTGAGCGCCACCGAGTGCCCCGGCACCAACCTGTGGAACGAGATTCGCACCTGGTCCAACTGGAAGGCCTAAGAAAGGATTTCAAATTCTAAAACTTTTTCAAATGCTGCATAATAAAAACTTTTAAAAAAAAATTCAATAAACTTTACATAACTTGAGATTAAGCGGCGCCTGACTCATTCGCAGGGTATTTCCATGTCAGATCGGGAACAAGGCTTGAACTCTACTAATTGCTCGAGCTGATAAGCCTCATACACATAACTTTAGTAGAGGACAAGCATTTGCCACTGGCATTCCTCAGTCTAACTTGAGATGCTGCTGCGATTGAGCCTCTCTGATCTTCGCTGAGGAACGATTAAAGCGATTCGATTGCCTTGCATCAATTTGATTATTTTTTATAGCAAAATGTACTCTCGGTGATCTCTTTCCAGGGGAAGGCCACCAAGTGAATCCCCTATAAATGTTTTCGTGCTTATGCATGAATCAATTTTGTTTTTAAAAATGTTTTTATTTAACAGCCTGAGTTACGTTGGAAAAAGTCCATTTAGGCCCTCCAGTTGGACCAGGTGCGAATCTCGTTCCAGATGTTGGTGCCGGGGCATTCGGTAGAGCCCACCTGGCGATGGCCGTACAGCGTGTAGCCGGAAATGATCTGGCCGCGGGAAACGGCATCGGCTAGCAAGCCCTTGGCAGCTGCGATCTGAGCCGAGGTGAGTTTGTTGTTGTTGTAGTTGCCCAGGAAGGAGATGCCAATGGACTTGGCGTTCCAGCTGGTGGCATGGGCACCCATGACGTTCCAGCCGCGACCCTCGTACACGTTGCCATCGCCGCCGATCAGGAAGTTGTAGCCGATGTCAGCCCAGCCCAGGCTGTTCATGTGGTAGTTCTGGATGTTGCGCAGCTCTGTCTCGCAGGCGCTGCGGGTGCTGCAGTAGTTGCCAGCGGTGTGGTGGATCACAGCGTAGCTCAGTTTGCTGGCGAGCGCGGATTTGCCATTGGGTGCGCGACCGCCCCACTGCGACTTGCTGATGATCGTGACGCCGAAGACGGCGTGGGCGCACAGGAGCACGGCCAGGGCGATGAGAGCTTTGCTTGCCATAATTCTCGATTGGATTTAAGACTTGTGTAAAGGCCGCTCGCTGTGACGCTACTTTTATAGCCCCTGCGAGGAGCGTTATCTCTGCCGAATGATTCGCCTAGCATACGACACTTGATGCGCCTATATATGTATGTATATATATATATATATATATTCATAAGAGGGTCGGGGGAATTTTGATCTGATACGAAGACAATCTCAAGAAGGCTCTGGTACTCGTGCGTCTTTCCCAGCGTTGGTCGAATGAGTTTTTAATCAGGCCGAGTGCTATTTAATTAATTTGTTAAAAATACTCAACGAACTTCAAAAATAAACAATTCTTGTAAGTATTTCAGCAAATCAGCAACTTCAGATCTTTAAGTGATTTTGCCTTTGTATATAGAAGCTACAAGAGTTTATTGGCTTTGTGAATTGATATATATATATAGTATAAAATATAAATATATATATTATAGTAGTATATGGCATAAATATATAAGCAATGATAAGGAGAGCTTTGGGAATTTCTTGATTACTTCTTGATACTTATCCATGTCTATCTATCTCCTTGTCTAAAGGCCTCTAGAGACTTGAGATGGTATATATACTTCGGCTCATTTATCATAAACCCATTTATTGTTATTTTCAGATTTTTTTCAGATTCCCTTTCCTTAACATGAGTCCAAGTCGTCTAAGAACACAAGTTGCGATCATTCGATTCGTGTTCTCTCTCTGCTCATGTTTCGTTCTTACAGTGCAACGACTTGATCATGCTAAGGCAACGTTCGTGGGTCGAGCATAGCAAAAATTGATCAGCTGTTGGTTCTCTATACACAAATAAATATACATATACATAAACAACATATTGCTTAACATTTGCCATGACACTTGATCAGCTTGCAGCTTGAGCTGATATTGCTATTGATATAAACTTCCAAAGCGCTGAAGCTGCTCTGAGACAGTTTTTCAATTTCAATTAAGAAATAGTAACAATTTTAATTTTAATCATTTATTTATATTTATAACACAGAGAGAGTTTGGCTTAAGCCCTCCAGTGGGACCAGCCGCGAATCTCGTTCCAGATGTGGGTGCCAGGGCATTCGGTAGCGCTCACCTGACGATGGCCATACAGGATGTAGCCGGAGGCGAGCTGACCACGGTTGACGGCGTCGTTGAGCAGACCCTGAGCAGATGCGATCATGTTTGGCTCCAAAGTGTCCCAGTTGAAGTTGCCCAAGAAGGAGATGCCAATGCTCACAGGGTTCCATTCGGCAGCGTGGGCGCCCATCGAGTTCCAGCCACGACCCTCATAGACAGCGCCATCGCCGCCGATCAGGAAGTTGTAGCCGATGTCGGGCCAGCCCAGACTGTCCATGTGGTAGCTCTGGATGTTGCGCAGCTGCTGTGCGCAGGATGCACGCGTCTCGCAGTAGTTTCCAGCGGTGTGATGGATGATGGCATAGTTCAGGTAGTTGCCAAGGGCAACACGGTAGTTTGGTGCACGGCCTCCCCACTCGGCCTTGGAGACGACATAGACTCCCTGGACGGCGTACTGGCCGCAGACCAGAACAGCGAGAACTAGAGCGAAAACAGCTTTCGACACCATGGCTAAACTTTGCTAATTGTGATAGACCCCTCTGCGTGTGGAGCTTATAAATGCCATTTTGGCTCTCAAGTTTGGCCTATCGAGCTCTTGAAAAGATTAAGTCATGTTACAGCTGCCTTTATGGAACTTGTCTTCATAATTTATAATCCTATTTTAATTTATGGTAATGATTCGCCTGTGGGAAGTACCTCTAGTAGACCCATTAGTAAATACTCCATTGATTTACGTCCTTATCGCCTTATCGACATATGCATATATTATATTTAATATATATAGAAAGCGTGGCTACACTTCGTCTCGCTGCTATCGGCTCGATTACTTCGCTGATAACAAGAATAGCATTAGGCTTGCCTTTGGTATGAGAGCCTTATCAATTTCCAATCACGCGAGTCTAATGTCAGCAAATCGAATGATCTCAACTTTAATATTGGAGTGAGATTCAGTTAATGAAAGACGGACTAAAGGAAGTCAGAACTTAATATTACATCATGAAAATATATTTAAGGAGTTCAGGTATATGCGCTCTGACTGCAGACTAGAAGACTGAAAGAGTCCGCTGGAAGTTGGCATATATCAATTTAATAACTAACTAATTTTAGTTAAAGCATTTGGCCTTGGCACTGTTTAGCTCATAAAGTAAACTTAGGCATTTACAGTTTTCTCACAAGAATCTCTGCCAAAATGTGAACCCTAAACTAATAGCTCCAATGAGCTAGCTTCAAGTTGATATTTCATGTCAAAGACTGTGAAGCATTTATACTTCGTCTTTTCTTACGTTAATAAATGCGGCTCAGCAGGCGTGGGAAGGCTGGGTTAATATAGGAACATTTTGTGCTTCTAGGTTTCAGTGTCGTTTTTATAATCTAGCTTTCCATATGGATTGAAATATATATATATAATATATCAATATATCACTGTGCCACAAGGCCAGTGATTGAAATTAATTCCCAATATAATCTTTCCCGAAGTATCTGCAGCAAGAAATTATTAACTTGTATATATTATAATAGTATATAGTATAGGTATGCAGTGAAAAGGACAACTTTAACAATTTCTTGATTACTCCTTGATGCTTAGCCATGCTCCCCTATCTTTTTATATAGATTCTAGATTCTTGCAGTTTTATACATACATAAATGAATGAGAACATATTTATATACAAAAACTACAATACAACTCATGAGCAAAAACATTTCATTTAATTTCAAATTCCATTTTCTAAAAACAGATCCAAGTTTCTTAAGCTGAATATAAATCTGAAAACTGTTTTATTTAAAAATAGTTTTTTATACAGTAATTTAGGTAGTAGAAAAATGGTTGGGCTCAGCACGTTTAACACTTGAAGTTAATAGTATCTGTTAGCTTAACAATTTCAGATTTATTTCTACTCTGCGCATGTTTGCTTCGTTCTCACAGCGCATCGACTGGATCATGCTAAGGCGCCTGTCTTAAGCGGAGCACAGCAGAAATTGATAATCATTTAAACAGAGCAGCTCCTAGTGCATCAACAGCTCTGCTCTTGCCTTGTCTATATACATATATATGTGTACCTATACATAGTGACAGCATGTCAACAATTGGAGACGATATTAAGTGAGCATCTAATGCCTTCAACTTGTTTGCATTGAACGAAGCAAAATAAAAGTTTCACAATCTTATGAAGCTGACTTACTTGAACTTGCGATTTATAACTTAAAAATGTATAAACCAGACTTAGACTATCTGAATCAAAACTGGGATACTTGTAAGCCTTCTAAGTCTAACTACATTGCTAACACTTGCCTTGGCACTTGCTCAGCTTGCAGCTTGAGCTGTTATTGTCGCTTGCAGGCGACCTGAACCTATTTATTTTATGTATGCTATATTTATATTTAAGCATATATACTTTCTATATATGCTATGCTAATCCAGCTTTAAAGTGATATACCTATTTCTGCCTTTTCTATTCGCTTGCTCTCAAGTAACTTCCCAAGCGCTGAAGCTGCTCTGAGACGGTTAGACCAGTTGCAATTAAGAAATAGTAACGATTTTTTTTAATCATTTATTAATAGTTAGTACATAGAGTGTGTTTGCTCTAAGCCCTCCAGTGGGACCAGCCGCGAATCTCGTTCCAGATGTGGGTGCCAGGGCATTCGGTAGCGCTCACCTGACGATGGCCATACAGGATGTAGCCGGAGGCGAGCTGGCCACGGTTGACGGCGTCGTTGAGCAGACCCTGAGCAGATGCGATCATGTTTGGCTCCAAAGTGTCCCAGTTGAAGTTGCCCAAGAAGGAGATGCCAATGCTCACAGGGTTCCATTCGGCAGCGTGGGCGCCCATCGAGTTCCAGCCGCGACCCTCATAGACAGCGCCATCGCCGCCGATCAGGAAGTTGTAGCCAATGTCGGGCCAGCCCAGACTGTCCATGTGGTAGCTCTGGATGTTGCGCAGCTGCTGTGCGCAGGATGCACGCGTCTCGCAGTAGTTTCCAGCGGTGTGATGGATGATGGCATAGTTCAGGTAGTTGCCAAGGGCAACACGGTAGTTTGGTGCACGGCCTCCCCACTCGGCCTTGGAGACGACATAGACTCCCTGGACGGCGTACTGGCCGCAGACCAGAACAGCGAGAACTAGAGCGAAAACGGATTTCGACACCATGGCTAAACTTTGCTAATTGTGATAGACCCCTCGTCGTGCGGAGCTTATAAATGCCATTTTTGGCTCTCAAGTTTGGCCTATCGAGCTCTTGAAAAGATTAAGTCATGTTATGGTCGCCATTAAGGAACAACATTTTTAATTTATGGTAATGATTCGCCTGTGGGAAGTACCTCTAGTAGACATAAAAGTAAATACTCCATTGATTTACGTCCTTATCGCCTTATCGACATATTCATATATTATATTTAATACACTTGGCTACACTTTGTCTCGCTGCTATCGGCTCGATTACTCGATATGAGAGCCTTATCAATTTCCAATCACACAAGTGATCTCGATTAATCTCAGATTTCTTTTGCCTAACAAAATTAGAGTGAGACTTAGTTAATGAAAAAGTGCCCTAAAGGATATCAGCAGTATACTTGAATTCATGAAAATATATTCTTTGTAACTGACAGGTGGAGTAATGGCTGAGCCCATTGTTTATATATACTTAATGCAGAGGAGCTGAGCCATGTCCCACTGGCCTTTCTCAGCCGTTATCTGGAGACAGAATACAGTCATTCGAAAGCTAACATTCAATGAAAGCTATTAATATGTTAAATGTATTTTTAGCCCATTAAATTTAAATCGTATTAAATATAAATCGCTTGTTTTATAAGTAATCAAGTTATTTTAGTATCACAGCTAGATTAGTAACAATATTTAGGCACATCTCTGTTAAAGCACAACAAGCACCACAGTGTGCCATTTATTTTGGACACGACTGTCACGCAACCGTTTCGAAAGCTTACCTGAGCGAAGCTGCGCAACGGTGGAACTCGAAGCTCATTGATAACTGCCAACAACAAGAGCTTTTATTTTCTGATTTAACTGGGCTTTACGATTTCAAGTATTCTATTTTAAATATATAAAATCAAATTATATTAATTTATAATACTTAATTCATTCTATAATTTTTGGGACTTAGCTGTGTACTCATAATGGAAATATGAATCAGTGTAGAGTATATTAATTTGCATTTCAATTTCAATATCAGCCTTAATCATTTGCTTAGGCTTTGAACTTACCGACATGGAACAGCCTAAAACATGAGTGCATTCTATGATTATATTATATATTATTGTATTTGTATTTCATTGATACATATTATTATATTATATAGTATAAATTAATATCTTGACAATGTTTCATCATTCTTAAAATTGTGCAAATTCCTTTATTCTGCTTACATTGTCTGCGGCAACTTCAAACGTTTGAGTGCCACTAAAACCTAAAACCGTTAATTAGGTATTTTAATTAATATTATGTCTAGCTAAACAATGAAGAGCTAAAAGAAGAAAGAAGTTCAGCGAAGCAATTGAGCTACGGCTGCTATCTTAGTTGGGATCTATTTGATATATCTTTCTCTCATGTAAATTTCTGGAAAAGATTCCTTTTCAAGTTGAGTATACAAGCATCAAGTATTCACCCAGTTGTTTTGCCACTCAGTTACGCAGCTGCCAAGAAATGTTTAAACAAATTTTCCACAATGAAATGTAAAATAGCCAAAAATTGTCTAGATACAATCAGTGCGCCGATTTGAATGAGCAGCAAATGCAAAATCAGCTGAAACATTACCATTACATTTAAGTGCAAAATGCATAAACATAAACAAGTGCAGCGCCCACCCGCATGCGGAAGAAGCAAGAGAAAAAATGGAGAGAAAAAACACAGAGGAGGAAGCCAAATGCAAGGATTCAACTTCAAAGCGAAATGTCCTCAGAATTCCGGCAGCAATAAAAGCACTCAACTCCCATAGACTTCCTGCTGCTGCTGCTGCTGTTGCTGCTGTCTGTGCACTTAATGTGACATGTTTTTGCAACAGTTTTGGTTGCCGTCTCTTCCTCTTCTATTCTTCGGCTCCAGCCTTAACTCAGTGTTTAGCGAACTCGAGCTAATAGCGTGTGCCCAACTAGAACATGCTCTGTACAAAGTTGTTCTTTGCTAAGGCCTTCAGATCTTCAGCTGCTTCGCAATTAAAGTATTTGACTTCACTTTCGTTCGCTGCAATTCAAGTTGAAGCATTTTCCAATAGGAAACACAGCAAATGCAGCTGCTGCTCTTTAATGCATTTTACTTGTTTTTAAAGTATATTTTTTTTGTTCTGCAAATTGAAAGTTGCTTGAAAATTGTCATTAAATATTTCATGTATGTACTCCAAGCTATTTGCTTATACAAAAATAAAAAGCCTTCACAAAGTGAAACTGTTTCGTATATATGTATGAATATATGTAAACTCTCTGCGCTTTGCTTCATCAGTCAGCAGAGAGCTTCAGTCTTCACTCTTTTATAGATCTTGCAGATGAACATTTATATTGTTTAAAATATTATAATTTAATTTAATTTATATTATTTAATAATATTTAATTATATGACAATTCATCATAAGCTAGCACTAGGGATTTTATTGCCTGCTTGTCTCGGATGTGATTCCTGAGAGCATCAATTAGACTGCAAATTGTAAACCAAATGCATTCAAATTGCTTTGCTGCAAATGTGTATAAAAGGTAGAATAAGGTATCACAAATACTATAAATTATATACATGCTTGATCAGGATCGTGATCATGTATCTCTTTCCATCGCACAGCGGAGATCCCTCCACTGCAGGCAGCATGACAGCGCATCAATTACATCAGGGAGACACTAGAACTTGATGTACATATATATAACATAATTGATGTATATACTTATGTATACGTAATATAAGTTAAGCATATATTTAATATCGCAACTTATTTCTTAATTATCCTTCCAATTTATTTCTCAAATTGAAAATAAAAATTCCTCTCACATATGTTAGAATGTTTTTGATTGTGATACATCAATTCATTGTTGCATTAGTTGCGACTTGAGCTTTAGCATCTATTTCGAATCTATTCACATTTTTATTTATCTAGAGTCGGAGTTAGTCAACAAGGAAGAACAAGAAATTTAGAGTTGAATTAAATAAAAAATAAGGCCTTTAGCGAGCATCCATTAAAATGTCTTTAAACTAACAAATCTACAAACAATCAACAATAACAAAATACACATAATAAAATAAGCTAATTCTGATTTATATTTGCCTGCACTCAACATATGATTTAACTGTAGTTAAATAATATATTTAGAGCTAACAATTATTAAGCATAATTACTTAATTTAATTTAATAATTGTCAGCCTGAATTGCTGCCAGAATTTGCTATGCAAAAAGCCTCAGTTTCTGGCCGATAAACAAGTGATTAGCAGCATAACTCAATTAGCAGGCTGCAGGTGGTGCCACGTCGGTCACCGGAAGCAAGTTGCGGCAGCAACATTTACAGAAAACATTTACATCTCATGTAAATTATGCAGCTCTTAATTAATGAGAGCACGGCTCGGCGCGGGCATGGAAATATAGTTGTTCTCCACTCTGCTTTACCTCAATGTCTCTAGCCTTGACTCTCGTCCCGTTTACCCACTTCCGATTTGCATATCGTTTACCTCTCTCTCTATCTCTCTCTCTGCTCTGTACGAGTCAGTTGGCTAATGAATCTGCAGTTGGTGCATTGGGAACACAAGCACTGTCTGTGGCTTGGCTGCAATTAGCTCAGACTGCACTTGACTTCACTTAGCTCTGCGCTCCCAAGCAGTCACTTCTATTGAATTGGTGTGAAAAGATTTATACCCTGTAAATGAATTGTGTGAAAGCGAAGGGTATACCTGAGTAAATATAAAGAATTAAGTTTGACAATATTATTCGGAGTTAGTTAATATTATAGAGAAGTAAATGTGATTTCATTATTTTAAACAGAAATACGTTAGCTAAAGTAAATGCTATGAACTCTCGGGAATGAAAGCTGCATTAAAGCCGTGCTCAGACAAGACCAAGCACATTGCCAGAAGACATGAAGTTCCTGGCATTCATGAGGCATAAATTCAATGCATTACTTTTTTTTGAACAAACAAATTCTCACTTGAAGAAAGCCATTGTTCAAGACTGAACCAAGATAACTACAAATTACCTTAAGCCAATCCCCTTCTTAAAACAAGACAAAAGCTGGTCTTGTAGAGCCTAAGTGAATTGATTCTACAATTTGTATTATTCTCACAAATTCTCTACCTTTAAATAAATAAAAATTATTTTCCAAATTCAAATTTATTGCGTCTTTTCAGTGTCTTTTCGCTTCGAGTGAGCATTTGGCACTCTTAAAAAAAATATGTAATATTTGCATTGCTATTATAAACTCTTAAACAAAAGCTAGACTTTTAAAATTTAACGTTTGTTTTTAAATTTTAATTTCGAGAAGAAAATTGAGTGCCTTTGGCCACGTCTTCCAGCAGCGCCCATATCAGCCACAGTTGAGCCTCAAGCTAACTGGTTAACCTCTTCAGTTACATAGACCTCAGCTAGTTGTCTAGCATTGAGCAAACTCGCAGCAAAGTATTGAAAAATAATTTGAAATTAGTGTCAGCTTATAAAATGAATTTCCACTTAGCAGCAGTTATATCGAAAAATTTCGTAATTGGCACTAACACATATGTAACAAATTTCCGCGTAATGTAACATTGTTTTCCGAATCAATTTGAAGGTTCTTTCGTTTTCGACACGTTCGATGTGCAAGGATGATGTTGGAGCTTGCAGAGCAGCCCACTTCCTCATTGCCGACAGAGACTTCCGAAGAGAACTGTTCAAAAGTGCAGTCAGTAGAAGAACCACCACGAGAACTGGACAATCTCGCTTGCAGAACAGTTAACGCTTCGATCGCGAGCTGCCATCGCTTGCAGCCGCGTTTGGCTGACTGGATATCCCGTGTAATTGGTTGGACAGACGAGCTGGGCCAGTACGTGCGACAATTTATCTCCTTTGTGGCGGCGAAGTTCCGTGAACTTTTTTTCACAAATGAAAACTTCATATACCGTGAGCCGCCTCTATCAAAGGAAAGCAGAATCCAGTTGGACAATGTGCCGCGCAAGACACTGATACTGGATCTGGACGAAACATTGGTACATTCATGCTACCTAGACCCGGACACTAACGATGTTGTTGGCTGTACTTTTGTGCCCGAAACAGCCGTGCCCGATTACACATTGAACATACCGATTCTAAGCGGTCTACACCCCATCGAGTTTCAGGTATTCAAGCGCCCATATGTTGATCTCTTTCTGGACCTGGTCAGCAAGTGGTATGACGTGGTCATCTACACGGCCAGTCTTCAAGCGTACGCGACCATTGTCATCGACAAGCTGGACGCTGGCCGCGGCATCCTACAGCGGCGCTACTATCGCCAGCACTGCGTCAACACGTCGTCTCTGGTCAGCAAGAATCTGTTCGTGGTGAATCGTGATTTAAGTAGTGTTTTCATCATTGACAACTCGCCCAGTGCGTATCGCGACTTTCCGGAGAATGCGGTGCCGATCAAGAGCTATATCTATGATCCCGACGACAAGGAGCTGCTGAATTTGCTCCCCTTTCTCGATGCGCTGCGCTTCACAAAAGATGTTCGATCGATTCTCAGACGACGTGAAGTCACACTTTTGGCCCAATCAGAACAATAATAATACAAAGACAACATAGTCGATATATATATGTATATATATATATATATGCGCTAAGGGCTATATTGTTACACCCATAAGCTGTCATTAGGTTACCCGGGCTAACGCACCTCGGGCTGGCCCGTACACATGGAGCATATAAATTTCAGTTCAGCGCAAATAAATAACACCTTTTGTTGTCCACTTGTTGCTATATATATTTTCATTGAAATATACCCAATTTCTAAAAAATATTCCTCAATGTGTCAATCAAACTATCTAAATATCTAAATATCTAACTGTATATGTATCTAAATATCTGTTGAGTTTTGAGCAGGGCTACAGCCTCTACTCTAACTTTATTGCTCCTTTTCTATATTTCTCTCTGACTCGCTTTGTTTCTGTCACTCTCTGCCTCTGTACACTCTCCTCTTTCTCTCTAACTTAAGTGAGTATATCTAACTATAAATTAACTTAAGTAACTTAAGCATATTAAACTGCTGCAGTAAAAGTTGAAAACATAATCCAGTTATTAGTGTTGAAAGAGAGAGAGAGAGAGGGAGAGAGAGAGAAGGTGCAGAGAGTAGATTTCGCTGGCTGGATTTCGATACCTTCTCCTACAGCCAGTTACACCTGATGAATCGCCGCTGATGTCGAACATTTAAGCACAATTGACTCCAGCTCGACACACGGACACACGGACACACGGCTGCAAGGCTGAAAATTTATGGCGGCGCAGGTGAAAGTTGTGCGTTCTCTTTACCTTGCACTACGTTATAGCTGCCATGGGCATCAGCCCTTCGCCCACTGATCGCTGTCACTGCCGCGGCTGCAGCAAAGGCAACTGGTTAAAATTTATTGTAGCTGCACGGCTTAAGCCAGTCACTGGATATAAATGCTTCGCGTGTGACTCACATTCATCAAATCCCATTCGAGCTCTAACTCTTTTTATGACAATTTGTTGAAAGACTCAAATTCACTTTTGAATGCATTGCTAATTGTGGGTGTCTCATAAAAAGCATTGCAAGCAATCAGCAGGTTTTCGTGCTGTGACTTGACTTCAGTTAGATTCGCAAAAACTTGATTGGAGCTGCTCGTTTTTCTCTCAATTGGGAAGTTCTCGTTGTTGAAGTTGGCGCTGATGTAAAGCAGAGATGTATGCAGAATGCATAATGAAAATTCATAAAAAATAAAAACTTCTTTAATAGCCAAACCGAACTTATCGAAATTCTTATTGAAATACAAAAATTCCATTATCAAATACAATTCTAGATCTAAGACTCACGGTTCTTCTAGCCTCACGTCGATTTTTAGGGCTTGTTCGTCGATCCAGCTCCTGAGATGCGGCACATTCGTATAGGCAGCTGGAATATCCTTGTCCGCACACTCGATGCCCCAGGAGACGATGCCAGCCAGCTGATAGCGTTTGTTCTGCCCGGCCATGCTGCAGAACAGAGGCGATCCTCCGTCGCCCTTGCAGGTGTCTTTGCCCTCAATGCCGCCGGCGCAGAGGAAGCTCGAGTGGAGCGAGAAGCGCAAGCCGAGTACTGTTTTGCGCAGCAGCCGCTGGCAATACTCGTGCTCCAGCACGGGCAGATCGATGCGTTTCAGTATGTGCTCCTGGCTAGGAGCAGAAAAATTGCGATGGCCCCAGCCGGTGGCAAAGCACTCCGCCTCACGCAGTTCCTTCTGGAGTATTGTGCTCTCGACTGCTGGCAGACACAGCGGTTGCACGTGTGGCGCCAGCTGAAACGGCTGCTCCAGCACCAACATGGCAATGTCGTTGCGAAAGTTCAGATTGTTGAACTGCTCGTGGCGCCAGAGATTGCGTATGCGTCGGCTCTGGAAGGCGTATGGCTCCTCTGCGCTGTTCAAGTCATACTCCCCGGCACGCGCCAGCAGCGTTTCCGAGCTGTGGTTGGCCACATTGTGGGCGCTGGTCAGCACCAGCTGAGGATGTATCAACGTGCCGCCGCATACGTAATTCCCCTGCACATCCATCACAGCCACCATCCAAGGGAACTCGGCAAAACGCGCCTCGTGATCGTTGTAGCCCACCAAGGCGTAGTAGAGACCCGTCGGATTGCTATAGCCACAGCCCTTGTACTTGAAGTCGTTCAGTTGACGTCGCACCGGATTATCGCTTGCATCCAGCTGCAGTTGTTTCAATTATTACTTGACATACAATCTTGAGCGACTGCTCACCTGATCAGCAAGGGGGCAACAGCTCTCGAATGTGCCGCAGCCAGAGTTGCTGGCATTATCGATGCGCGGCTTCAATATGAAGCGGCCGTCCTCATTGACGACGCCCGTGCGACACAGATGCCTCGGCACACACAGGCTCTGCACGTCACAGCTCTTGTAGTCCAGCTTGGCCTCGACGCCAGTGGGCGCAGGCGAAGCTGTCGCTGATTTTACCTGCTTCGATCTGCGACTGGCCATGGCGGCCTCGTAGCTCTCCAGCTGCGCTTTGTCACAGCAAACAAGGCCCACGCCACAGCTGCGATCCAAGATGCGTGGTCCAAATATTCCACTGCCCGAATCATCCGTCTCGTTGCAGCGCTGCTGAGTGATGCAAATCTGATCGCTCTTGCATGTGCTCAGCAGCGCGCAGGCGTCGGCCAGAATAAGCAGCACAAACAACTTCAATAAACGTTCCATTTCTTAATACTTTAATTAAATCAAGGAAAATTAATTAGAGAATTTTAATAAAATTGGATTGGATTGTAGAATGTATTGAAATATTAGTTTAAATATATAATTGAAGGGCTATAAAAAATATTTAAGATAGTTGAATAAGGTTCAGCCTTTTAACATTATTATTATTATTATTATTATTATGAATGTGTAAACTTATAAAAAAAAAAATAAATAAAATTGATAAAAAAAATAAAACAATAAAAAAAAAAACAAATAAATAAAAACTAAAAATATAAAAAAGAAAAACAAATAGAAACAAAAAATAAATCACAACTAAAATAAAAATATAATTATAATAAAGAATAAAATAAAATAATAAAAAAAAAAAATTATGTAAAAACAAAATTTAATAAAAAATGAAAAAATGAAAGAAAAAAAAAACAGAACACAAATTAAACAAAATATTATAAAAAATAAATATTTTCATACTTGTTTCTATAGAATTATGAATATTCATAGTCAACTATTTTGTAACTAACTTTAGGACTTTCCAAAAGTTATTTATCAATTCACGAATATCTATTTTGTCCACTTTAAAGTAATGCCCTCATATATTATACAATTAATATACGTTAAAAATTCATTTTGAAGCTTTGTAGCCGGCTTTATCTTCTCGATCACAGCGTCGCGTCATTCTTTCATGGGCCATTTTAAGTTTCGGCAACCAGAACAAAGTGATAAGGCGACAGTTCTGGGAAAATACGTTGGCTGCGGCATTTTTTCAGAGTTGTTAATTTTTTGGAATACCCACGTGTACCCAAAATATAAAGTAGCTAAAACAAATAGCTATTAAATATTAGCTGAGCATTCAAAGCTGCCAAACTTGTTGGCATAAGTAAGTACATAAGTGAAATATAAAATCGAATACTTCTTGAACAGACCTCGTATAGAAAAATAATGGATATGTAAATATATGTAATATATTATAATTACTACGAGCGGCAATCTCCAATTGAATGGCACACAAGCCGCAATAGCTCAGAAATTACTACTCTAGTTCACCTAAGTTAGGTGTGAGCAGGCAAAGCAGGTGAGAATTTCAATGAGATTTTCACAAAATATTACAAAAAAATCGTAATTTATTTTCCGATCGTTTTCAAACTGGTTTTCAAACTTTTTGCTAATAAAAAATAGATTTAAATTGCAATGCAGAGATAATTACATGCAATTCAATGTATTATACATATTTCATTTTAACTTGAGCAACTCTTATTCACGTTATTTATATATTTTATAGTTACATATTGAAGCAGCGAAGCAGTTGACGACCGCGCGACGTTTCGCGCTGTTAGATGCTGAGTATCGACTGAGCAGACCAAACTCTTAGAAATGTATTTTATAAGCGCTCTCAGATCTCAGCGCTATAAATATTTATAATCTCAATCAAGAGAATATCAGTTTACTTAGCTTCAATTATGCTCTCTGCTCATCAATCATCCACTGTCTCTCTCTCTCTCTAGCTGTTCGACTCTTCCTCAATTTCCTATTTATTGCGCCTTTGTTTCAGACTCAACTCTGCAGCTCTGCTGCGCTAAACGCTGTCGAGATTGTTTTCAAGCCGGTTCTATAAGATACGCGAGTTCTATTTCAACTCAATCAGTTGAAATTAAACGCGAATCGAATTGTGTCTAAAATTGAGCTAAGAAAATACGTATGTTGCTCGTATACTAAATATTAAACAATTAAAATAGCCATTGCAAGTGTTAAACTAAATACTTATATAAATGTCAAGCTGCTCCTGCTAAATGTGCCTGACTAAAGATACCCTGTGTTAAGCCTCTAGCTAGCTGCGCACTTTTCGGTTTCCCAATTGCAACTACCCCTCACATCTCACGTATTCTCCATTGTTTGATCTTCAATAACTGCTCAGTGAATTATGTTAAATTTATGCATATTTAATGTTAATGTTTGCGTCATAGAAGTAAACAAAGTTTTGTAAAATGTGACTCATTATATACATATACTCCCATGTCTATATAGCCATATATATTATATGTATTTCAAATTTAAATTTTTGTTTTTGTTTTTGCTTATTGTTTTTTTAATTGAAAACTGACATTGTCTTTGTAAAAAACAGTTTTATTATAGTTTTTTTCTCATTCTTGTAGCACTATTTTATTTGTAAAATATTAAATATTAAATTTTTTATTTTTAATTTTTAATTTTTTATATATTTATTGTTTTTTTTTTTTTAATTTATAATATTTATTGCATATTTTTTATGTACTTATTTATTATTTTTATTTTTATTTTTTAATTTGTTCTATATAAAACACTTTCTTTATTTTTTATATATAAATATTTTTAATTTAAAAAAAATATTTTTTTGAATGAATATGAAATATTTTTATTTTCACATTAATGTTTAATTTAATTTAATTTAATTTATTTTTATGTAAAATATTATTTATATTCATTTTTATTCTTTTTTAATTTTTGTTTTTATATATTTTATTCATTTTTTTAATGAATATGAAATATTTTTTATTTTCACTTTAATGTTTAATTTAATTTTTATTTATTTTTTTTTTTATGTAAAATATTATTTATTTCAATTTTTACTCTATTTTAATTTTTGTTTTTATCTTTGGTTTTTATATTTTTTATTCACTTCCTTATTATTTGAAATACTATTTTATTTTTATTGACTTTCAAAAATCAGACTCTTGATTCTCTTAAAATACTATTATATATTTTCAATGCATTTTAATAGTTTGTTAGATTTGTATCAAACTGAATTGAATTAATAAAGCAAAACCTTTGAGCACACATTGATAACCTACACAGATTAAGCGAGAGGCTTTGTTGCATTGATATGAATTTTCTTATCAGCGAGAAGTGAAATCTATTTTCTTATACATTGAACAAATTGAAAATGGAATAAAAAAATAAACGAAGCTGCTTCAAGAGGCTAAAGGAGTCATAAATATTCATTTCTGATTAGGACAGTCAACTTAGACTCTGAGACCACAAAATCTATAGACTTTTTATACATACATCAGAGTCAGTAGAGTATTTTACTATATATACTATACTTTACTATACATATAAATACAGGGTATCTCCTAGTCGACCTACGACACTCTTATTTGTAGTTTCATAGTAAATTTGCTTTAATTTCTCGGCGCAGCTGATGGATGTCGCCTGCTACTACTGTCCACTGTTGCTGACCTGCGTCTTCCTGCTGACAAATGGGCAACAAGCGGCGAATTCGTCGTCGTCATGCGGCACAATGGAACTGTGCGTCACCGAGCAGCGCTGCAACGAGTCGGACGATTCGGGGCGCAGTATAATCAGGCCACGCATGGCGCGCACCTGTGGCCAGGGCCTGGTGTGCTGCGATCAGGAGCAGCTCGAGAGCTGGGACGCCATGCAGGTGACGGCAACAGCGGCAGCCACACGAGCAGCCTCAACGGCGATGCCGCAGGAGCCGAGCAAGTATGAGAGCTGCGGCTTGAATATGGAGTGCGTGCCTCGGAAGCTGTGCCGCGACAATAAAATCATCGACGACGGTCGCTTCATTTTGAATCCACGCATCGGCGACACAACGTGCCCCCGCGCCTTGCAACGCTGCTGTGCTGTGGATCAAGAGGTGAGTTTGCCGTTAATCAGATGGGGACTTGATTAGCCTTTGCTTTTCACCTGACGGCAGGTGGAGCCCAATGACAGTCCCTACATCTCGAAGCTGGGCGAGTTCAAGTACAAGGGCTGCGGCTACAGAAATGCGTTGGGCCTGATACCGGATGAGGATAACTATGAGTATCAGAAGGATGTCGCGCTCTTCGCCGAGTTCCCCTGGACGGTGGCACTGATGACCGGTCGCTTTCAGTACCTTTGTGGCGGCACGCTAATCCATCCACAGTTGGTTCTTACCAGCGCCCACAACATAGTGAATCAGACGGTGGACACGCTGTTGGCTCGATTTGGCGAATGGGATCTGAACAGCAGCGATGAGCCATACGAGTATCAGGCGCGACGCATCAAGCAAATTATCAGACACGAGGAGTTCGATCCCGCAGCCCTATTTAATGACATTGCACTGCTGGAGCTGGTGCTGCCCGTTGACATTCAGCCGCACATTCAACCGCTCTGCCTGCCGCCGCCAGAGACGCCCAAGCTGCAGGCGGAGCTGCGCAGCGCCCTGTGCTTTGCCACCGGCTGGGGTGCTCGTCTCTTGGACAGCACGAGCAACGAGCGGCTGCTGAAGCGCATCTTTTTGCCCATAGTCAGCAGGGACGAGTGCCAGGGGCTGCTGCGAGTCACCCGCCTGGACAAACGCTTTCGCCTGCGACCCAGTTTCCTCTGCGCTGGCGGCATCAAGGGCGAGGACACGTGCAAAGGCGACGGCGGCTCGCCGCTGTTCTGCATGATACCTGGACAGGTGGATCGCTTTCAACTAGTGGGCATTGTATCCTGGGGCATTGACTGCGCCAACGAGGATGTGCCAGCGGTCTATGCCAACGTGCCCTACCTACGCAGCTGGATCGACGAAAAGGTCAAGTCCTTGGGCTACGAATAGGCGACGATGCAAAAAGAATATCTCATTAGAAGCTCGAGTTATGAACAAAAAAAAATCGAATTCAATTTTAGCAGAAGGCAAAAAAGAGAAGGAACGATATTCGATAGAAAACTGAAACACTTATCGATCACTTTAAAGTTTAAGCCGCGAGCAATCGATTGATGCGATTCATTAGACTACTTAGCATATTGATAAATTCCCTTATAATTCAAACTTGTACCCAGATTTATGACCACAATTAATGTTGCTAAGTGAAACGAAACAAAAAATGGAGAAGAAGAAGAGGGAGGAAAGGAAAAGGAAAATGAAAAGGAAAAGCAAATTATCGTTGTGCACTGAACTTTAAATAGAAATAGCTAAGTCGCAGCATATTGTGGCCCCGAACCCTTGGCGAATAAGTCTCAATATTGCCATGGCTCTAAATTAAGTGGGTTTTGTGGCACGAGGACGAGAAAGCAACAGCAGCAGCAGCAAGCAAAACAATGAAGCCACGAGCCAACAACAATCTGCCTTGGACAGCGAACCAAAAAATTGAGAAATTACATGCTGCGAAACAGCTAGGGAATTGATTTTGGTGGTGGCTCAGTCAGCTCTGCCGCTGACGGTGGTGCGCCGTGGTAATGGTGGCATTGGTGGTGTTCGTCTTGATGCGCCTGCTGTGGCCATGGCTAAGGCAATGCCTGCTGTTGCTGTTGTTGTTGTTGATATGGCTAAGGCAATGCCTGCTGTTGTTGTTGATATGGCTATTGTTGTTGCTGTTGCTGTTACTGTTGCTGTTGCAGTTGCTGTTGTTGTTGTTGATATGGCTATTGTTGTTGCTGTTGCTGTTGCTGTTGCAGTTGCTGTTGTTGTTGTTGATATGGCTATTGCTGTTGCTGTTGCTGTTGTTGTTGATATGGCTATTGCTGTTGCTGTTGCTGTTGTTGTTGTTGATATGGCTATTGCTGTTGCTGTTGCTGTTGTTGTTGCCGTTGCATTTTCCTTTGGCTGCTGCTGTTGTTGCTGTTCGATTCGCTGTTGTTGTTGCTGTCGTTGTAGCTGTTCTTATTGATGTTGCCTTTGCTGTTGATATTGCTATTGCTGTTGCTGCTGTTAGTGTTGCTGTTGCAATGGCTGCTGCTGCTGTTGTTTTTGCTATCGCTGCTATGGCTATTGTTGTTCTGTTGCGTTGCCGTTGCAATGGCTTTGATTGCTGATGTTGCTGTTGCTGTTGCTATGAATGTTGCTTTTGCTGTTGCCGCTGCTCTCACTCTTGCTGTTGCTGTTGCCCAGCTTATGGCTGCTAGGGCTGCCACTGTTATTGCCATTGCTTCTGATGTTGCTGTTGTTGTAGCTATTGCTGTTGCTATGGATGTTGCTGTTGCTGTTGCTGTAACTATGTTGCTGTTGCTATTGCTTTTGCTGTTGCCGCTGCTCTCACTCTTGCTGTTGCTGTTGGACAGCTTATAGCTGCTACTGCTGCTACTGTTGTTGTCAGTGCTTCTGCTATTGCTGTTGCTGTTGCTGTTGCCCAGCTTATGGCTGCTAGGGCTGCCACTGTTATTGCCATTGTTTCTGCTTCTGCTGTTGCTGTTGCTGTTGCTATGGATGTTGCTGTTGCTGTTGCTGTTGCTGTTGCTTTTGCTGTTGCCGCTGCTCTCACTCTTGCTGTTGCTGTTGGACAGCTTATAGCTGCTACTGTTGCTACTATTGTGCCATTGCTTCTGCTGTTGCTATTGCTGCTGCTGTTTCCTTTGTTGCTTTTGCTGTTTCTCCAGTTGTTGTTGCTGCCATGACTGTGGCTGTTAATGTTTCTGTTGCTATTGCAATGGCTATGGCTACTGTTGTTGCTGCTGCTGTTTCTGCTGTTGCCTTTCCTGTTTCTGCTACTGTTGCTATTGCTTCTACTGTTTCTCTTGCCCTTGCCGCTGATGTTGCTGCTGCTGTTGCTGCTGCTGTTGCTGCTGCTGTTGATGCTGCTGCTGTTACTGTTGCTGCTGCTGTTACTGTTGCTGTTGCGGTTGCTTCAATTGTTTCTTTTGGCTTTACCTCTGATGTAGCTGCTGTTGTTGTCGCCGCCCTCACTCTTGCTGTTGCTATTGCTGTTGCCTTTGCTGTTTCTGTTGCTATGATTACTATTGCTGCCACTGTTGTTGCTGCTGCTGCTGCTATTGTTGTTGCCTTTGCTGTTTCTGTTGCTGTTTCTCTTGCCCTTGCCGCTGATGTTGCTGCTGTTGTTGCCGCCGCTCGCACTCCTGTTGTTGCTATTGCTGTTGCTGCTGCTGTTGCCGCCGAAGTCTGCGCTAAAAACCCATTTCTCAAGTAAATTGCTAAGAAACGTTATTTATTGGCGCTTTTCATGCACATGCACAACTTGGCTGCAGGTTTATTGATTTTGCCAAAGCAAATATTCGCCTCGATTTTCGAGTATTTGCATTGGCGCCTGCGGGCGGTGCAGCGTGCAGCATGCAGCGTGCAACGTGCAGTGTGCCATAATCACGCCTGATTAGTTTTCATTTCTTGGTCTTGGATATCAAATATTTACCAAATTGATTATCATTTAATTATAATAAAGCATAATGTTCAATGCAATGGCAATTGCCTGTCATCTGTGTGGACAGCAGCTGTGTGAGAGTATCCATGTCGACATCTCTGTGCGTGTGTGTGTGTGTGTGTGGGTGTGTTCGTGCAATTATGATGGCCCTGGCCGCAATTGTGTTGCATACTTTGAGGCACATTTCCTTGCCGGCTAACGGCACTTGCACAGCCTCTGTGTGCACATGGCATCAAATTACAAATGATGTCGTGCCCGAGGGAGCGAGCGGGCACGACGCAGTGCCGCTTGACAGCAGGGCTCTTGCTCTGTGGCCAACCAACGGAAGTAGAAACAGATGCAAATGGCAGTCGGGAATGAGTGTATATTCATGTAGTTATCTCTACGTGTGTGCGTGTGTGTGCCTGGCAACATGAAAAACAAAACATGCCACTAATGCTGTACACAGCCCATTCACACAGACAAACCGAGGCACATGAACAATTGACACTGGCTAATTGCACTGGAAAATTCGCTAAATGCAGCCATAACCACTTTGCCCACTTCATTTTGTTGGCATAAACAGGCACGTGATTTGCATGGCGAGGCACAAGTTGGCCGGAGAGGGTTGATAATAAAAGTTTGAGGCTATTCGAAATATTTTAAATATTTTACAACTCGATGCAAACTAAAATCGTGTCAAGCTAATTAACAACTCGAGAGTAAATTAGAAACATTCATTTTGGCTTGGTCTTTGGTTCTACAAAACAATTAAATGCATTGCAGCCTGCCCAACTGCTGCAACATGGCGTATACGCAACGTGGCGCAGTACGCATTAAGCATGCGTCCCGTGTACCGGTGACAGCGACATGTTGTCAACGTTTTAGAAAATTTGTTATGCAAATTGCTTATTAACTTTATGGCTGGCCTGTCCCATTGTCGCTGCGGCAAACGTACAACATTTTCAATTGTCAATTAGCGTTGGCGCCATAACGAGCTAGCCCGCGCTGGAGTATCCAATAAATTGCAGACTCTCGCTAGCATTCGAGTCTCGAATTAAATGCACATAAAATCGAACTTCGATTTTAATTTATGTGACATCATGAGCTCTGGCTACCTGTGCTCGCTATCTGCTGGGACTTAATGCTGGTTTGGGCCTGCTAATGACATTGCCACTATCAGCCCCGGCCTTTAGTTTAATTGAAAAATTTCGTTTTGTGTTAGCTAATGGCAGCTGTGTAATTTATGATGCCTGCACCTGCCACACACGCGCCCACTGAACATTTGTTACAGCCGCTGCTGGGCATTCTGCATTGTGCCTTTGGCCTTAGTTGCATTTCCAGCCGCACAAACTTCAATTATTATTGATTATAGTTATATGGCTTGGATGAGCAACTTAAGAGCCAAGCACTTGCCCTGTAAGCTCGATTTCATTTACATACTAAATTGCTAAAATTTCTATTCAGCTTTATGCTTTGAGTCTAAGTATTTAAGGCAGTTATTTTTGCATATTTATATGCATACACATATATATTTATTAAATATTAATTGATGTCAACAAAACAAATATTATATTTTTTTTATAAATATATATTTGATATTTATTGAGTGTACAAATTAAAAGCACATTTATTTTTATAAGGCATCGGCGCGAATTCGCTCTTTCTCTTGAGCAAATATTTAGCAAGCTTCTTGAAATCATTTAGTCTGAGCCAGCAATTTTATTACTTGCTTAAGAATTTATCCATAATCATTTTTAATATTTAAAAAATATATAATAATATATAACTATAAAAAATAATATTTACAAAAATGTACAATAATTTTTAATAAATAATAATTGATTATATTTTGCTTAATTATATTAATGCTGCAGTTATATGTTATCTACAACTAGCTTTAAATATATTTACATTTTAAGTAAATTTAAATAAACTAATATAAGGCTCAAATAATACGATTGTAATTTTTTTTTAATATTTTGAACATTTTTTAAATTTTTTAAATTTTTTAAAAAGAAAAAATTTATAATGTTGTGCAGCAATCTCTGTGCATTTCTTATATAAAGTGATTTTAATATTTTAAATCATTGGCTTAGTGATTAAAAATAAAAAATAAATTACTTAATAATTTAACAAATAATTAGCGTAATAAAATAAAAATAAATAAATTAGCAAATATAAATTATAATATAATAAAATAAAAATCTAAATATAAATTGCCATGAGAGAATAGAAACAAATGCTCAAGCAACTAGCTCTGGGCGTGAAGGTTCTATCGCTCCAACGTCAACTCTCCTTTTACTACACGTATATACGACTGCAAGTATTAAGATTAAGAATTTCAGCTTAACACAACAAAACCCAACAAAGTTGCTGATTGTTTATGTGACTCCAGTAACTGGCGGCGGTCAGCAACTGCGAGCTGCACTCTTGACTGCGCTGATCCAAGTCAGGTTTTAATTAAACTGAAGCTGCTGGGAATGGGAATGGAAATGGAAATGGAAATGGAAATGTGGAAATACAAATACATTTAGCGCGCACTGTGCGCTGGGGCGAGCAGCTGAAGTCAGAAGAGTTTCGTTTGACGAGCTGCAGCGCCATTGCACGCTTGCATAATTCGCATATCCTTTGTTTTGTTTGGCTTTGAAGCGGGCTGCTGCTGTTGCTGCTGCTGCAATTTTACAGCCAGTGCATCATTTGATAAGCAAATATTTTAAGCTGGCGCAGCATTTAACAAAGCTAAAAGCACCTTTGGGCCAGTCGCGCAGTCAATTTTCATTTAGCTCAATGAGAACAGCGGAAATATTTTTTGAATAAATTTAT